ATCTGCAAAATATAGCGAAAAACTCAAATGAGTGAAGAGATGATTGAGAGAAATAAAAGGAAACAAATTCATAAAAAGACTCAGTTACATAAGTAAATTAGTGTCCGAGGATGTTAATTCCGTCGACTGGTAATAGCCACATGCTCATTTCTACTGATTCACTGAAAACTACCCATAGCACAGATACCAGTCTTTACCAAGTCCTTGTAAAACCAGTGTGTCCCAATCAAAAACTTTTTTATTTAAAAAAAAAAAGTGCACCACCCTTCTTTAGGAACACTAATGTTTTATATCCAAGAATCTGGGGATCCGCCAGACAGACTCAGTGACAGCAGTTTTACACACAAACAGCGCATTCTCTCAGCTAAATGTTGTTAGTCATTCTAAACAAACTATGGGAGCCAAAATGCCCTCACTCTCATAAACAGGAAATAAGTGGGTCTGCCACATCAAGCCAGCTCTGTGAGCCTTCCCACTGGTAAAAAGCTATACAACAGACACACACATTCCCATAAGCAATTCACCCCAGAGAACAAATTTAACTCTAAGTGGCTTCTGGTTGCTTAAATCTCTGTACTACTCAGACATCAGTTTAGAGAGTCTGGGATGCAAAGGGTGAGGGCTCCAAAAGATCCTCAGGCCACAGTTACTTTCACCATCTGGAAAGCATTGGCAGGACTCACACTGCCTAGGTGGAGCAAGAACACAGGTCTATTTTGTCTCCTGCCAAATCTGCCCCCTATTCTAACCAGGCAGTGTATAGTCAGAGAATACATCAATGCTACAAGTCGTCCAGTGTGCACATAAAGACTCGTTCAGGAACTCAATGCCCAGTGAGAGTTTCCTAAAAGCTGCTGGAACTGCTCAAAAGATGGCATACACTAGAAAAGGAATTTTCATCCATAAATCACAAAAGCGGCATTAACAGGATCCCAGTATAAACAGCTTTGGTTGGACCAATCCCTTCAATGGTGGCCTTGTTGGCTCTAAAATAACACTGGCCTCTTTGGGGAATTCCACTGGTAAAATTATTTCTGTCTATAGTCTTCACAGATGATATTTCTGCTTAAGTCAAATATAAGCCATAGATGTTTCCGCTCCCTGCTATGGATAACTAAAAAGAAATTCATCCCTAGGGGCAAGAATGAAATGGCCATTCATGCCTCAGAAAGGTACTCAAGACTGAACAAGTCATGCTCCCGCATGTCCTGCTCCGCAGGACCACAGATGCTAGAGGGCGAGGCCAGTGACTGACGAGAACTCTTCACTTCTCAGCGTGCTCCTCTGCTGGATGGTGCAGGGCCTCCTGAGCTGCGGCTCAGGGGCTTGCTCTGAGCATGTAGACAGTGATGGTGAGAACCTGACACCTCCTTCAATCCTCAAAACCTCACAGGCCTCCGGAAACAGCGAACATGCTGCTCAGGTTCAGGCGTATGTCTTGCCCACTAGTGGCCAGGAAGCTGTGGAAAGGGGCAGAGGCCACCCAGAGTCATTCAGTGGCAGTCAACCACCTGGCTGGTGAGGGCCAGCATTTGCGCTGCCCTGAACTGCCTGAAGAAGGCGCTCTCGGGGCAGGATACAGGCATCCATGGTTTCCTAAACTCCTCCGGTGAGGCTCTAGGCCTGCACTGTTAAGTCTGAGACCCATTTCTTAAATACTACATAGACTAAAGAATCTAGAAAAATCACCTCAACAGCAACACACATGGATCTGTGGGTATTTGGGACCTGCCTCTTTGGGACCTGCATCTGTGACCTCACTTCTTTAAGTTACAAATACAGAAATAGATCTTTCTTTCCCTCCAGCCTAGTCAAGAGACTAAAGCTAACCAATATAAATGTCTGAATGTCCAAACTCCTAGGTAGACCAAAAGCCCTGAGCTCACCATAGCTTGTTCACAGGGTCTCAAATTCTTTTTCCCCTCTTTCTTTCTTTTAGTACTTGGTATTGAACTCAGGGCCTTCACAACAAGCTACATCCTCAGACCCTTTCTCAAACTATTATCTAGGTTGAAGTAGGGTCTTGCTAAATTGCTACGCTGTACAGGCGGGGCCCAAAATTACAATCAGCGTCAGCCTCCGAGGGCTGTCTTATAGGCATGCGCTGCCATGCACAGCTTAGGAAATACAGATGGTTTTTCACTCCTTCAGTGCTGGGGCTGGAACTCAGGGCCTCACAAGTTTTAAACACACTCAGGAAGGGAGTCAATAAATATTACATTGGAATGGTCGAAACACGCACCAAACAAATACTTAAGGCTTGTTTCTTCCTCCACCTTCTGCAGTTCTTATGGCTTCAATTTTTAAAAAAACAGGTATTGTCCCCCTGAGAGTCACTAACAAGCAGAGAACCAGCTTCTGTGAAAAAGGACACAAAGGCTCCCTTCTTTTCAAGTACACAGCCACCTTCTAGTAAATGGGAATTTAAAGGAAGGCAGACTAAAGCAACCACTGGTAAGCATAATTCAAAGCTGTATATATTAAACATCATTTCACAGAGTCATTTAAAAGTTCATTTCTGTAAATTTTAATCTTTTACTGTTTTATCTTTCATTGCAAAAAGAAATCAAAGTAACATTTAATAGAATATTAAACTGGAGGAAAGAGCAGGGAGGACAATCAGGGTTTCAGGTATCTGCCATGCATGGGGACTGGGCTGGGCATGCTCTGCACATGACCTCTCAATTTCCCAGCAGCCCATGAGGCGGGGAGAAGCTCATCCCCTAGAAGAGGAAATTGAGGCCCAGGGCCCTCATTGGGCTCCCACAAAAGCAGAGTATGAGCCAGGGACAGGGTGCAGAAGTCTCTTTGGAAGGTGATCTGGAGAGCAGGAAGAGACAGGCAGAAAGCTCAAGGAAGGTGTAGAAAAGGCTGCTGTGTGCAGCTAGGCCTCAGTTCCAGGGGTCCTCTGAAGGAGGGCTAAGGAAGATGGGTAGCATCTTCCAAGACCCATGTCACTTTTGAAGGCTCCGCTGAGAGCTGCACAACCCCGGACTGGAACCCAAGTCTGACTCAGAACCTGTGCTCCTCCCAAAGCTGCTTCTTGGCGCCTCCACCACACAGGCGTCTCTTGCAAACAACATAAAATGTACAAATTAAAAGCTTGGTCTTGTCTTTTTAAATTTCTCACCTACCCACATTGTATTTCATTTTCCTCCAACCTTCAAAACAGACAGACTTCTTTGTGAGATGTTCACTCATAGACATTTAACTTCCTTTATAAGCCACGCAACTACCCCCAAACAGAAGGAAAAGAAAATCCATGTTTGTAAAGTGTATAGTGAAGCACTCCACTGTGGCTGTTTTGTCTCTGATACAAGCGTATTACTATGCAACAGTCGCCTGGAGCTCAGCGGAGGGGCAGGCAATGCACCCTGGGCAGTAGGTGGTGCACTGTCTGGGAGAATGCCAGCCTGCAGAGTGGTGTTGCCAGAAACCCAGCAAGGAAGGGGCTGGGGCTCTCGCCCAACTGGTGGGGACACCCATCCAGGGAAGGAGCCTGCAGAGACACGTGCTGCCATAAACTGGTGACAACCAGCAGCAAGCCAGCTATAGACAAGTGCTGCCACCACTGCACTAGCTAAGCTCTCTGGGCACACAGACATTTGACCTAGCCAGGCCTGCCTCTTTATTCTGTTTCTTTACAAAAAGGAAGTAACAAATTTAATGCACCTGCTTGATCCTTACTAGGTAAAATAAGGCAAACCTGTCCCTTTTGCTACTGTCCATAGGGCTACATTCATGAAACTCTCAGAAACATTATATCCTCTGCAGTGATTTCTTATTATGATGAAACGCATAGACGTTGAACACAGGTACTGAAAGTATCCCTCAAGAATAATGAATTAGGGGCTGGGGATTTAGCTCAGTGGCATAAGCACCTGCCTTGCAAGCAGGCAGTTGTGAGTTCAATCCCTGGTACCGATAAAAAAAAAAAAAAAAAAAAAAAAGAAGAATGAATTCAGCAAATGGACACAGGCATATATTCTATGGCATACTCAGGCTTGTAACTGCAGCCCTGGGTGCCTGAATGATGGCCCTAATATGGCCATGTGATTCATTAGTTCCATCATAATTTTTATTTTATGATGCTCACTTTTATACACCAATAGTCAATTTAATGATATTTTAAATTAGAGGAAAGAATCAAGAGGAGGAAAAAGCGTCAGATATCTTATTAAATCACAAATCTTGCAATCTGATTTTTTAATTCTAAAAATGACCAAATAAACTTCCTGTATACTTAAATTCATCCTAGCAACTTCTCTTTTGTGTTTTTATTCATTTTTTGGTAACCACGGAGATCTCAGTTGGAATCCATCATCATTATAGTAAAGTATACAAATGACTTAGTGCACCCCCAGGATAAAAATTGCTACCACTATCCTCCAGGGACAGACAGATCTCTGCCTCAGCCACAGCCTCTGATTTGCTTGGCTGAAATGTTTGAAACACAGATGAATGACAAGCTCAGAAACCCAAACCTTCATAAGACTTCCTCATATAGAAATTTTACCTTAAGAAAAATAACACTGGCGTAAAATCATCCAGTTTCAGGCCTTTACAAAGTTTTGAAATCCATGACCTACTTTAAGCATTCATTACTTTTTTGAGGAAAGCAGAACCTGACAAGTAAAACAAAGAACCAAACTGCACTAGCTGCTCTCAGTGCCAACAGGTCACCACAAAATGGTCTCGCCTTGGCCTCACCTCAGTAAGCAAAATCCCACCACTCTGGCACTTATGCAAAGCACTCCGCAATTTTAAAGAATATTTTATGCAAAACATAATTATTTTCTATTTCTTGAAATTACTATAATTACAAAATAAAGGCACAGAATCTTGATACAATCTACTACTCCGGTTGGCATCTGTGCTCGCCTAGTAAATTAGTGTGCACTCCTTGAGCAGGTTAACTAATCTAAGTTTGCAACCAAAATTGCAGACTCAGAACTCTGACCACTGAAAACAGTAGATAAGAAGATAGGAGGCAGCCTCACCACGTGCGGGATTCTTTTTCAAGTTGTCCAGGAATTCTTCCAGCAGTTGGGACTGGTTGGGGGAAGGCAGCAGAGCTTTCTGGTCCCTGGAGAACAGGTCACCGTCTGACCAGGAAGCACACAGAGTTGCTTTTGTGTCCAGAGGCCAGGCAATGAGAGTAAGTCCAACGCTTTTCTCAGAAAACAGGGCCTCCATCTGCTTAAGGTCAAGATCTGACACAGCTTCCCCATTTAAGGTTATGATTTCATTGCCCTTTCTCAACCCTAAGAATAAGGAAGGGGAAACAGAATGAAAAGATGTGAGATCACTGACATAAAGTTTAAGATGAAAGGAGGTTACAGGCTCAAACGATGCACTTGGCAGGATTGTTTCCTCATTATTTTCCTCAAAAAGCACAGCATAATGTACAGTAGTTGAAAGCCACTGATAACAAAACAAGACAGGCATGGTGGCACACGCCTATAATCCCAGTAGTCAGGAGGCTGAGACATGCAAATTCCCACAGATTTGAGGCCAGCTTGATTTACAGAGTGAGTTTAAGGCTAGCCTGAACTACATGGTGAGACCCTATCTCAAAACAAAGCAACACAGGTCACACACTCAACACTATGTACGGTGCATAAAAGCCTTTAAAAAATACAAAAGTTAACCTTAGAAAGATTACATTCACTAGGAAACAATTTGAGCAGCCACCCACTAATTGTTCTTCTAATGCTCTGGTATAAATAAAAATACTGGGAAATAGCATGTTTCGCCAGCATGTGTCTGTCTGTCTCTCACATTTTCTCCCTCCCTCTGTAAATGCACAGGGAGACTGTCTCCTACACACATTTTCTCCATCTATATGTGCATTTTCTATTAAACTTGGCAGTTTACTTTCTTTATAATCCCAGGATGTAGCCAGGTGTGCTGGCTTACATCTGTTAAGTCCAACACTCTGGGAGGCTGAGGCAGGAGGATCACAAGTTTGAATCTTGCATGTGGTAGAAAGAAAGAAAGAAAGAAAGAAAGAAAGAAAGAAAGAAAGAAAGAAAGACAGACAGACAGACAGACAGATGAACTGGGCATATAGCTCAGTATGAAGGCTCTGGGTTCAGTCCTCAGTATCACAACGTAGAGATGCACACACACAGGATTTTCTGACAAAACTGTAAAATGAAAATTTCACTAGCCAGACTGCATTCCACAGACTGAGACACAGTGCCACACAGACCTCCGCCATACGCCAAGCCATCAGGGAGGACGTCACTTATGAAGATCCGGCTGAGGTGCTGGTGCTCATCCACTTGTGCTGTGACTGCAAACCCTAGTGAGGAAAAGAAAGCCAAAGTCTAAATTCACCTCACTCATTCGTTCCTCCAACCCAGTCGGCAGGACTTCCCGAAACACTTATTCTCGTAAATACAGCATGTTGAGAAACTCTAAATGATGTAATTTTGAAAACACAAATATCTAGCAAGGGTAGAAAAAGAGGAAGATGGAGAATGGAAGGTTTAAGATGTAAGAGGGTACAACCCTTTTCAAAAGTTGCAATGATGTATTCATGTTCACAGTAGCATTCCCAACAGCCTACAGGTAGAGCCACCCAACAGTCCAAATGGGATGAAAGGATAAACCAGACGTTGTCCATACACACAATGGAATATTACTTCACCTTAAAAAGGAGAAAAATTGTAGCACATGCAGCACCACGGATGAGCCTCAAGGATATTGTGCTAAATGAAATATGCCAGTCACAAAAAAATTTTTGCATGATTTCGCTTCTGCGAGGCAACCAGGACTGTCAAATTAGTAAAGCCCATAGGATGGTGGTTGGCAGAGGTCCACCCAGGAGGGAGCAGAGAGTTAGTGTTTAGCGGTACAGCTGGCTTCAGTGTCGGAAGATGAGTTCTGTAGATGGACAGCGGCCGTGGCAGGACGCATGTGAATGGACTCAATGCCACACAATGGGGCACTTTCAAGCAGCTCGAACAATACTCCCTTTAGGTTGTGTTTACTTTAGCACAATGTAAGTTTTTGGTTTTTTGAAGCCATCTTAGAGAAATATATTCACTTCAATACAAAAAAAGAAAAAAGTCAACTGTGCATGTGGGTAAGCACTTTAATGTTTAAAAAAAAAAAAAAAAAAAAAAAAAACCTGGATGGCTAGAGCACTGCCTAAACATGATGTATGACCTGCATATACCCCTGCTCTGAGGGCATCTCCCCTGCCTGGGGGACACCTTCCTGTCCAAGGCCACGGCCAGGAGCAGATGCTGCCTGACTGCTGGGCTTCTCTGAGGAGCAGAACAGCGTCCCATTTCCCTATGAGCCCTCACTTCCTCTGCAGAATCCAGAGACTGTGGTCACTGAAATGATCTTTGCAGCTGCTCAAACACAAAGAAGACACCACTGGCAGCCGTGGCAAGCCAAGTGCAGCCAAGAGAAACAGACAAAAGCTAACAGGATGTCAAAGAAAAGCCAACTAACATTTGGGTAAAAACTAATTATGTAATTAAGAAGTAAACATTATGCAATTATGTAATTAAGAAATTTTAACATTATCAACTTGAACCATTTTAAAGAAAATAATTAGGTTGTGTTAACGTATTTCTTAAGATGAAAAAAAGCCTTTCTATAGACATATTCACTGATCATGAACCAAATATTGCTTTTAAAAGACAATAAAAGATAGAAACGAACCTTGAGAGAGGAGCACAGTCTGCAAACGGCTTAGAGTTATGCTTAAATGTAGACCAAAAGAAATGCAAGAATTAAACCCCACAAAGTGATTTGGGAAGTGCCGACCTCTAAAACTCAGGTAAGAGAGATAAAAGCAATCAGATTAGAATTTTACTTAGTTATGGAAAGAGAGATAAGATTTACATTATCAGAGAGAAAGGTGGGGGTGGGGGTTGGGGGAAGGTCAGGATTCCAGATGGGTAAAAGAAGCCAAGAACAAAGACCAGGGATGTAAGCACTGTCATGGGAATCATGAATTAATCTGCTTAAAAAAACCTGGAAAACAGTTAATCCATTGAGTTATAACTGTAGCCAGCATTCCAAATGTCTCATTGATTTTTAATATGCAATATTTTTAGTTACTTTGGCATTTTTCTCAATACTGATACATACCTTCTTAGTCTGCTAATATAAGTAAATAGCAAAGAAAAAAGATAAAGTTCGGAAACTAGTATCATATTTTCTGAAAATGTGATTTAAAAAAAAAAAACTAGGCCCAAAGATACCAGGGTAAGACAGGCAAAGATAAGCCCAGTGACTTCCTAATGATGGGCTCCTTAAACTTACCAAAGTCAGAGATACTCCCAGTCTTTGTGAGTTGCACATCATAAATATTTAGTGGGAAGATTTCTATTTCATCATAAACCTACAAAAGGTATAAACACAGAATTTGATATAATGATGTCTTAAAAATGATTTTGTCACTTTTTCATAGCAAAATTTTAAAAACGTTAAGAGTCATTTTAGATGAAGACTGTGTTTCCAACCTAGCCAGGCATGGTGGCACATGCTTATAATCCCAGCCCTGGGGAGGCTGACATAGGAGGGTCACTGTGAGTTCAAGACCACCCTGGGCTACATAGTGAGACTCTGTCTCAAGAAACCAAACACACACACACACACACACACACACACACACATACATAAAAGTAACGCACACTTGCCTGCTCTTGCACGTATTCATACGGGGCAGGAATACAGCACTCAATGCTTTCACCAACCAATTTCCGAAGCTGAAGGCCATAGTGACTGGGGTCCAACTGCCTCATCTATGAAGAAAGTTATTCAGATTTTATATTCTTTCTAAATTCATCACTGCTTAACAGGCTCATTAAAAATCAAAGTAGATTTCTCTAAAAGAAGACAGAATATAATTTGCTGACTTTAAAGAAGAGCTCAAATACAAATGCACAAGAAGGAAGGGACAAATAATTATCTTTAAGAAGGCTTTCTTTAAAAATTATCACTAAAGGCAAGGGACATAGCTGTAAGAAATTAGGGTAGAATATATTTGACAATATATCTCAACATTTCAGCAAATTACATCTCTATGTAATGAGTTGCACCTTACTGTTGTTTTCTATTACTATCCTAAGAAACATATAAAATATAAACAAACTCTGGTCTTGTGGACTTCAGAATTGGAAACTTCATATTCTTAAACTTTTCAAAAGCAAAAGCCACACACACATACCCTGTTTTCCTTTCTTGCCCTTTTTCATCACAGTTTTAACAGTGAGAAATTTATCTCTGGACTATGCTCCAGTGAGGATTAATTACCCTCTGCATCTGACACACTTTTAATACCTAGAAAACTTATCAGTATGAGAATGAATTTTATTGATACTGAAAAACACTGTTGGTTACATAAAAACCAACATATATTGGAGCAAAGGGTAATTAACTTCCCAAGGAAAGAAGCTACATATATAAATGTATATTATCTTAAGGATTCAAATCCCAAGTAACCAATGAGGGCCTACCTAGAATTAAACTATTCACATCTACTAAGAGTTACAAAGGACTACTTTTTTATATTATATTATACTATTTTTTATATTATATATGAGTGCACTTTTTCTGTAAACTTAAACTATTTAAGCTCTAGTGTGCCACCTGGTGGTGCACAATTGTGATCTGTGCTTGTATTTCATCTCCATGGACTGTTTTATATACTTTCTCTTCATACTGGCAATAAAGTCCAGTTTGAATAATGAATAAAAATATCAAATCATATCAATTTCCATGAAGGAACTGTTACTAGTTTTGAATTATTTACATAACTGGAGAAACATAATCAAATAGCTTATGATTAAATGAAACCACTGCAAAGCTTATGCCAGATTCATATATAGCATCATGTCCAAGTAACTTAAATAGCAATAGACATCAACATCATTCTAGATACAAGAAATTTAGAATCCAAGGGAGATAATTAAGGTTCTTATTGGAGGCATAGGATTATGGTCTAACAACTCGTTCTTTTACAGAGAAGGAGCAAGAGATTGTAAATTAATAAAGTATATTAACAAATACACTAACATGCCCCCTAGCATAGAAAGTGAGGTCTTACACATGACCAAAATCAGAAGACAGCAGTGTAATACCATTTCTATTCAGAATTATATTACTCAGCATAAGCCATTACCTTGCATGCCAAAGTCAAAATATCTTCCACTCTGTGTTCTGGCTTGATTGTGACAGTGACGCCTTGATTATCCTGAAAATGAATGTAAGTCTGGATTTCCCAGGCGTTGTCTCGGGGAGCGCCATCTACTGCTGACCCATACAGATGCAGGAGTTCATCAACCTGTTTTTAGATGCCAGAAGAAAATGCAGACAGGTTGGATGAACAAATGAAGGAAAGTACTGAAAAGCTGTTCCTTTCATTCATGGAGCAGATACCATAAACCATTGCATACCACTCACATCACTGGCCTCTTCCAACCCTCCGAGGAGACCAGCCTGCGCTTCCGCACTCATCCTACACTGGTAGAGCTGCAGCCAGAGCCAGTCAGGGAAGTCAGCTGACCCCGCCTTCTTCCCTCTGTGGCACTCTGCACTTAACTCTGCAGAACACTGCAACCTGTGGGTGGGCTTCTTGGTCTTGTTGCTCCAGGATTATGGTGACAAGGCACTGTGAAATTTCCATCTTAACCGCAATCCACCTTTCCAATGAATTCTCACCCGTGGCCACCGAAACCTTTCTGCATCCTAACCTTAAATTGCATTTAACATATTCCAAGACATTTTTTTTTCCTTCTTTTTTTTTCCAACTAACTCTCAGTCCAGGGGAAATTTTTGTTCCATCCTTCAGCTATTTCACATATAGACACAGCTAGGAAATCTCCCAAAACACACCAACGTCAGGAGTCTTTCCTGAAAGAGTCTCCCAAATTTCACCACCATAAGCATTTGATGACTTTAAGCTAATATGTTTTTCTCCATAACAAACATAGCTAACATTTATTAAGCAACTTAAAGTGTTTTTCCTTTAGCTCAGTTTTTGAATTATTAGCATGGCAGGAAACAAAAAAGTCACAGACTGCACCACTTAACCAGGAAAGTGTGACCTGGTATAAGACATCAACTGTGCTAAGCCTGAGCACCTATTCTGTAAAATAGGACATTATTATTATAATTATTACTCAACCTTACTCCTTATTAACATAACTTTAGTAAACAAAGGGAGTCATACATTTGAACACAACTTATCTACTTGAAAATATTATGTGCGGATTCAATGCTACCAGATTATTTTATACCACTTATTACTAATGAATGATTTCACTTTTAATTTCATGCATCTTTAAAACACAAACCAAAAGATCATCTTCTATAGGGTTTAAAAGGTATAATAGATATCATAAAGAAATCCCAAAGAAAAGGTTTGGGCAAAGTGATGGAAGAATCCATTTTTCTGTGTCATCTTTATGAAAATGTGGTGCTCAACTCTTTTAGTGACATTTCTGGATCTGTCACTTTCAGCACATTTTCCTGGAAGGAAGATTGCAGCCAGAATGAATGTCCCCTCACATGCCAATGAGAAAGAAAGACCGAAGAGAAGCAGATGCCGAGAGCCAGGGATGCCAGGAACCAGCCTGGACGCCGCTCTTCCTGAAGACTCCTGTCTCACGTGGGCCGCATGTTTTCTCGGGTTCATTTTCCCAGGTGCAACTTTTTTTGGTCATGTGCAACTTTCAGCTATACAGTGACTGCAACCAGGTACTTTGACAACAGCAGGGGCTGCCTTCGAAGTGCAGGCCCCAATTCTGGCACGATGCTTCTTAAGAAGGAAACTGAAACTCCAGCAGAGGTCACTGTGGAGTAAAAAAACCCAAAGTACCAAGGGAAGAGAAAGGCCAGAGGAAATCACAGTCCAGTCACTGCTATTTAATTTTGCACTTTGGGAACAGAACCGTTGGAGGACAAAAAAAAGCATTACAAATGTGGAATTAATTAATTATAACCAGTTAAAAATATGTGTGGTACTTACAGATCTCATAACCTATTTTAAGCTTTGCCCTTTTGGAGAAAAAAAAAAATGGACTGATTCCCTCAAGAAACATAACATTGGACACTGTTATCCGAGCAGAACATACACAAAATGATACACAAATCCACAGCTATGCCCTCCTGACCCCATCCTGTCCATACTGCATCACAGGAGGCCAAAGGAAATCAACTCTCGACCTGCTGCCAGTTCGCTTACCACTCACAACCACCTCTCAGGGCAGGCACCATGACCCCCTCCCCCCACCCCTTGCTTAAAAGCTGAAAAGATACAGAAAATCTTAGGAACTTTCTCAAACTCAAACAACTAGTGAAGCCAGTTCTATGGGGATTTAGCTCTGAAAGTCTGGCATCCGCCTGCATGCATCAACGTTATGCTATACAGAAAATCAGCCTGACAGTCAACTCCCCACAAGATAGAAATGATCTAATGCTCTCAATTCATTTCCACTATTCTACTGCATTAGCCATGTTCCAGTGGAACAAAAATGGCTCATGTGGCATTCCCCTGGAGTGGACTACTCCTGCCCTGAGACCCATGCCCACCCCAACTTCTTCTGTCTGCTCTACCGAAGCCAGACATGTCCTTAAGCATTATTTCAACAGCTGTCCCCTCTCTCTTTCATGAAGTGTCCCCTCCCACCTCTAACTCCACTCAATTAGATGAGCCTGCTCACCCAGGTTCCTGGCATAACACCAAGCAGAGTCGTTCTCATGATAGTTCAATTCTCACCACTTCCAGAGAGAAGCAGCACAGCAGAGGCTTTGTCCTCCACGCCTTATCCTCCTTCAGCCTTAACATGTCACACTTCACCCAAAAACACAGCACACGCCTGCCAACCATGCCTAGAAATTCACATCCTCTCTTGGAAGGCCACGGCCATCTATCTGCCTCTGATTCAATTCTTAATGCTCCCCAAAGTTGCCAGAGGAGAAGTTAACTCATTATTAAAAGGAAGAAAGTCCTGGCAATGAGGAAAGTATGTGAAGGGATAAATGGCGGAATGGAAGAACAAATATTCCTAGTACATTTGATTGAACACAGCTTTGTAGGTACAACTGCTCTGAGGCATCGCTTCCTGGGTGCACACTGTTGACCTAATCTAGTGAGTGACAGGAGAGAAGGTGCCTATTAAAGCCAAAGCCATCAGAGATTCAGACGCTCTTCAAGACACTGGATAAGGAAAAGTTAGATGCAATTTTTGCTGAAATACACACATCCCTTAAGTGTATACAAGTCAAGAAAAGTAAAATCTAACTATGCAGAAGAAGCATGAAAATGTGAATTAATTAGAACTAGGAAATAAGTCTATTTTGGGCTTACAGATCTCGTAGGCTATTGTAAACTTTGTCCTTTTGAGAAAATGCCAGTTTGATTTCCTCCAGAAGGGTCAATGGTATTCAAGCAGAAAATACACATTTTAATTTCTTTAAACCATATACAATACTCTACTATACTCTACCTATAAAAGAAACAGAGAATTTTGAAAATAAACACACAAAAAACTAGCCCATGTAGAGAATTCTTTTCCCATCACACCATTTCCAAAGGTGTGACGTTAATCTTTATAACCATTCACCCAAAATTCCATGATTCACTACTTTTGGCAGGATTGCTGTGCACAAACCCTACACCTCCCCTTCCACGCCAGCTGATCCCAACTATATGCCTCCCAAAAGTGGCCTATTGCTTATTCAAGGTTTCCAGTGCCTAGAAAATACAAAATGGAGGTAGGAAAAACATAAAACAAAAAAAAAAAAAAAGGAAAACCTGAACCCCAAACTGGCCTTATTAGGCTTAGACAACCTGCTTACCCACTATCTCTGCACTTCCATTTCTGCATCTTTTAAAAAAGACTGAGAACAGCAGTCTCACAGCAAAGCTGGGAGATGGATATGAAGGATGGATTTGAAAGGTATCAACTGCAGACTGTCTGAAGTTGAGCTGGACAGTGACACTATTCTCCCCTGGGCATAATCACCAGGGCTCTGCACCGGGCACTGCTGAGAATCATCTCTCATTCCAAAACCTGGGGCACCTTGTGGGGGCTGCTGCAGCCAGGCCCCCTGACAGTCTGTCTCCCACCAGCCATCCGCAAAGCGGGTACATCTATAAGCCACAGCCACAGCGCACTAACCAGTTAATATTTGCAAATTGCTTTAGCTGTCCTCATAGGGCAACTTCTACAGAAGCATTTATTATTATCATTATTACATTAATGGTCCTGGAACCACATGTCAAATTACTTCTGCTTAGTACGCCGCACGGAGAGAAAATGGAAACGCTGTGTGTTCTCACAGCAGATGCTTTCGGATCAAATGGCTCATAATTACTACTTGGATCACTGACGGGAAGTGAGTAGCAAAATCACAATCTGGCTGTCAAAAATGGGCCCACACCACCACAGTTGTTGATAAAAGGAGAGTATTTGCAAGTGAGATGAGGAGACAACACAAAGGGAATTATCTGCTCTTGGTTTTCTTAATGGTAAGATGTCATACAGGAGAAAGTGTTTACTTCCTTCCTGGGCTAAGGCCCTAACATCAGCTATATGAAGTGAAGAGAGAGAGAGAGAGAGAGAGAGAGAGAGAGAGTGAGTGTGTGTGTGTACATGCATGTACATGAGCTATACCCGTGTGTGGGCTATGCAGAGCTCCAGATCAGCATTCTGTTTAAAAAGATCATGCTATGGTCAAGAGCCATGGTCCCATTCACATTTTCCACTTGAGAAACCAGCAGAAGGTTCTCTGGAGGTTTTGGGGGGTTTTATTTTTTTTTTAACAGTTCATAGTTAGTAACTACTAAGATGACAACACTTCATTCATTCGCTGCCACAGAAAAGCGAGACCCCCTAAACCCGTTTTCCAGGACAGACCCACCCAGCGGCTGCCAGGTCTGCAGGAGCTTCTGAGGCAGCTGCCATCCTAAACTTCCTCTGGGATTTGTTGTCACAATCTCCATAACAAACGCCTCCCGCCAAACTCTGTGTGAGACTCATTATTACTCATCAGGCAGGAGGCTATGAAAAGCTTTCATTTTTGGCTAGCCAAAGTGTCCTTTAAAAAAAAAATCACTCAAATAAGACTGGCTTTAGTCCAGACTTAACAGATTTCAAATTAGGGTGACTCACTGCTGGGTTGTTAGTGATGAACCAATTAAAGTGGAATATTTAAAAATGTGCCCCGCCCTGCCCCTGCTGCAGCCTTTCAGGACTACTGGGATGGACATAACACACTCACTGTATAAAAATAGATGGTTGTGCAGGTCATAAATATTCTTCAAGAGTGATCAGCAGAGAAAACTAGTGAGATTTATTCAGCCAACCATCAGCAGAAGTCCCAAAATATAAAAAATAAGTTCTAGCTGCAATTCAATTTGAACCTAGTTATCTGAGTTCTTTGGTACAGAAACAATATAGGCACCATTAAAATAGTCCCGTAAATGAAATAAACATCTTCAGCATCCCTATATCAGAAGTGATACTCAGATAAAACAAAGAAGAATAACTAGATAGATACAGGTGCTTTTAAAAATGGATGTTGTAATAGTTTCCTCTTTCCCTTATAGCTTTGGTGAAATTTGCCCATTAAATTTTAAAATGTGCTAACTTGAACCCAATTTGAATAAACACAATTTAGTGTCAAAGTTCACTATTAAGTTCTGCTAACAGCAAATGCTCTGATAATGTTATTTCCTAACTTTTAAAGTAAGAATCTCAGACATTTACATAATCTCCTTAAAAAGGATACAACCATAAAACTATGGGCTTTCACTGTAGATGAAACAGTTCTTCTCAACTACTGAGATCAGATGCTTTTTTTCAACTAGTAAGGGACAAAATCTAACATAAACAATTAGTAAAAATAGTAAGTATTTGTCCTTGACAATGTGCTATAGATTTGGAATATATGTTGTCACCTGAAGATATTCACAAACTATCCAGACCTAGGTCCCGCTTATAAGCCTTCCTGGGAAACACGACACATACACTGGAAGGGGGGCAGATAGTAAAAGGTAAGACACAGTAAGAACCAAGCAAATAACTCAAGAACCACCACCACAGTCGAGTCAGGTCCCTGGAGGATGGTGTGACAGACCTGGACAGAAACAAAGGGGCTGGGGCTCTATTTCTTATGAAAAGTCTACTAATCTGATGACATGATTCATAAGAAGAAAGATCTGGGTTTGGCTTCCTAGCCCTCCACCCTACCCCACTGCCATGGCCAAGTCAGCAAATGGGGAGCACAAAATGTATGATTTCAGGGAGACACTGTGGTGGGCAAGCACCTCCATCCCATACCGTACTCTTTGGCTGCCCTGAACCCTGGGGATGGGAGTCAATGAGGAACATGTTTTGGGGCACAAGATTTCCTAATCCATTTGGGGCTTGTCCTACAGGAAGGTGGGCTTGTCCTACACCAAAGGTGGAGTTGCCACTCATGAGCAGTTTCAATAATGGTGGCACACTACCAATGGTGGGTACCAACCTCACCTTGGGAGCATCTGTGGCTGTGCTACATATTTTAGGAGGGCTGGAAATTTCCTCAGTCCTGTCACACTGTCTGACACTCCGCTAGTCCTCATGATTTTCAAATGAAATTTCCAATCCATTACTTTATTAAAGAATATTGCCAGCTTCTATTAAAGCATATTAAGTTTGCCCAAGTCTGTTATGACTGATTTCTCAACTTCAGAGTTCAATTCAGAGCTTAGAAACAAAACAGAAGATAAGATGATGGGGGCGGAGTTTAAAGAAAAACATCCCTAATGTTAAACACAGCTCTATAGGCAAGAAGTGAGTCCGAAAAGGTTCAATAAAGGGGCGTAGGAGCATTCACACCGTCTTCATGCTAGCCCCAAACTTCACTTAGAAACAGTTCTGAGGATTTGTTCTGTCATAAATAATTATGAAGACAAAAAAGAGACACTGTTCAGCTTCTCTGAAGAGACACCAAGAGTGCCGAGAAATACAAAGCCTGCTCACACACACATAGCACAGAATGCTTCATGTATGAGCAGACCCCCAAGAATCATGAGAGAAAAATCACAGTTTGAAACCACTAAACTTCAAATGAAGGTTAAGTACTGCTAAGCGACAGGGAAGGATAAAGGAAACAAGCTATTATGACTTCAGTCATATCCCTAATTTTAAAATGATTTTAGAAGTCTAGATCCCTCTAAAATGAATTGCCATCCAGAGAATCTCTTAATTTATCATTTTGACTGCATTTATTTTCAATAGATTAATGTAAAGATTCTGAATCAGCATCCTCTATTGAGACTGATTGTGTCACCAGTGTAAAACAAGATGGCTGCTGCCTACAGCCAAATTTACCTCACTGGAGTTAGTGGAGATTTGAGGTAACTGAATTCCAGAAAATCCATGGCTGCCACTGGAATCAAATATCTGACAGATACAGGGGGAAAAAGACTAATGAAATGACTGCAGTGTTCATTTCACATCCTATCTTTTTCAGTATTTACAACTTTTTATACTTCATAAAACCTGTATTTCATAATTTATACTAATATTGTAATACAAAATTTTGAAGAAAAGTTGCTTTCCTTCTTCCTTCATGAAGAGTTAACATGGTTTACATTTTTAGGATGCCATTTATTATTCAAGTCATTCTGAATCCTGATGATGCTTTTAACTAAATACTTATTTCTGAAGATGCTGAACAGATCTCAGAGTTGGTGAATTTACCAAAATCAAGCTCATAATTATTTTTTTAATGCGCATAGAATAAATTTTGGAATGTAACTTAATGTTAAAAGTGGTTGTGTCTGGAGAGATTAGGAACCATTTTCCAAGTTTTATCTTATAATTTTTACAGACCATTAACATTTAAGATCTTTAACCATTTAGGAATAACAACTAAGTCAATTTTATTCAGTTATATAAATACCAACACTGTAATTGGCTTTACATTTTTTGAAACAAAAAATGTTCAACCAAATGCTTTTGTTTATGAAGCAATCTCCTGTTGAGAACTTTTACCACATATGCTAAGTAATTAGCTTTCTACAACTAAGAAAAATAAGCAAGTTATCAAGTTATTTATTAAATTATCACTCAATTACCCTAAATGGCTATCTCGATTAAAATCAGAATTGGTTAACAACCTTTAACATCACAGAGTTCAATTCAGAAAGCATTGGCCAATCATTTAGAATTGACTACAATCTATGATGAAAATGTTTCTATTTACAACCAACAGATAATTACTGTTTACAACTCTATTAAAATATATGTACTTTAAAGTGTGATATTCTTTAGGTGCAGGCGTATACAAAAACTGTGGTCATATAAAAGAAGTTGCATGCAGCACTAGACACAGTGGTACACGCTTGTAATCTCAGCATTCAGGAGACTGAGGCAGGTAGGATTGCCATGGGTTTGAGGCCAGTCTGGTTTAAATAATGAGTTCAAGGCCAACCTGAACTGCACAATGAGACCTTATTCAAAAAAACAAAATAAGTTTCATGCATTTTTTCTGTCTTTCAACCAACCCACTTCCCACTACCTCTAAATTTATTGTTTCAGCAGGCCTAAGATGTTGATACTAGCCCAGTGTTATCTAATTCACAAAAGTATGTTCCACAGTTGAAGAGCCATATACAAATCAGATAATAAAGTTCAAGAAACATGAATTTCTCAGATGACACTGAAGGCATATTCAGAATAATAGCACCCCACTGAAAATAAATACAAAAACATTTTGCCTGTTGACTTATATGATTAGATCATCTAACTTTTATCTTTCAATGGCTTGAAAAATTAATAATCCTAATATAAATAAATCAACAAGATAAAATTCAGTAATATAAACTATATTACAGGCACTATGAAATACTTCAGATGTGCATATTCAAAAATGCCTTGAACATAGTTCACTGTACTTGGTGATATGTTAGCAATAAATAATCAAGCTTTCTTCTTGATAAAATGTTTTAAAAGCCATTACCCCTTTGAGGGAAAATATGCAGCAGCAATTGTCCAGCAACTCAGGACTCTGGACTCAGGTAGGTGAACATCCTAGCTCTGTACCTCCGGTGCCAGTGAACAGGGGGGTAAGGTTCAGCTCTCCACGTGTGCCAGGTAAGTGGGCTGACAAACTACCTGCTTCATATTTTAAGGCTTGAAATTCTTTTTTTTTTTGGTGATCCTGGGGATCAAACTCATGACTTCACACTTGCCAGGCAGGTGCTTATGTTACTGAGCTAAATCCCTGGCCCAAAGATCCTGTCATAGATTTTTGTTTTTGTTTTTTTGGAGGGGGGCACCAGGGATTGAACTCATGACCTTGTGCTTGCCAGGCAGGTGCTTATGTTGCTGAGCTAAATCTCCAGCCCCTTATTTTAAGGCTTGAGTAAGCAAAAAAAAATTTAACAGTATCAGTAGAACTCAGTTGCAGTGGCTCTGGGAATTATTAATTTTCTACATTCATTTTGACATAATTGGTATGGAAAAAATAAGTATTGGTACTAAGGTAGTGAAAGGTGTAGATTATTTTCTAATAAATCTTTTGTTGTTGTTGTTCCAAAACACTACAAAAGGTGCGCCTGCTTCTTCAGGCATGTTGGAGCAGACAGAGCAACCTGTATATTTCATGCAGGGGCAAAAGATTACGCTACAGTTGGATGGCCTTGATTCCTGAACAACTTCCATCCCGTATGGACGTCAATGGTTTGCAGCAGGCAGACAAGAAGGGGTCTCAGGAAGGCCACTTAGGCTGCTGTTCCTCCCATGCTGGGACTCACCTGAGTGATGGAAGCTCTTTTCTCCTTCCCTCTCCTTGCCAGGGTGTCCAACCCTTTTAAGGAAGAAAATATGCCCTTCTTGCTCCTCCCTCGTTGGGTCAGTGAAAGTGTTCTTTTTCGAAGAGCAGAGTCATCTCTAGAACATACCTAATTTAAAACACAGTTTTAAAAAAATCTCGAAGTATATTTTGTGGATGACACAGAAAACTGATAGTTGCCCTAACCAAAATAAATTCTGCTTATAATAAATACATTTTGATCAGCATCAAAGACTCCTGTGTGTTTGAGACACCAGAAATATACCCATTATACAGATATCTCTTATCTAGGAGCACAAACATAGTTCAACATTCAGACCTCACCACAGTAGGCAGCAGCACCAATGAAACAACCTATAGACCTTCCAGACTGAGCCAGTTCAAGACATAGAAGTCACCAAACTAGGAGTGACTTCAGAAAAGCCTAAAAGACTCTCTGGAGTATAGATCAAGCACTTTCCATTAGCTTTTCAATCTTCACAGCCCTGATGCTATTCTTCAGAAACACCCCGACCACTGGTATGAGGACAGAAAGGCAAGAAGGCAGATGCAGATCTGAGTATGTGTATTAGCTGCCCACTAACAACTAGATTCTCAGAATCAGCGGTAGAGAGACATACGGACACTTTATAGTCTCCTTCCTTCCATTTTCTCTGGGTGACCCTGTCAGTTACTGGAGTAACAGCAGACAGCGCTGATGGCACCAAGCTACAGCAAGGGAAGCAATATGATCTTCTCTGAAGGGTCCTGTGACAGCCTCCCTTGGGACTTACCAGAGCATGGAATGAAGAAACAGACAAGATGCCCAGTCGGCCGAGGGCCAGCTTGGAGGGGCGGCTGGTGGCAGCAAGCAGGCTCTTGGGGTTCGGTAACTCCCCACCTTGTAAGCTGGCCAGGTAGCAGCGCATTCTGAACAGATCCATGTGAAATTTCTCCAGATTCCGTTCCCACTGCTGGGTCTTATAAAGCAAGAACAGAGGTAAGTTTGCATAAGTCAAGATGAAAATGCAATCCCTTTCGCAAACCTCAAGGAAAACTCAGTTTCAGCTGGGAATGTAGGATTTGAATACGCCTTCTCCACTGTGCCTCATAATAAAATGCACAGGGTCACACAACATTGCACTTCAGAAAGACAGCCCCAAACGAAGGAGGCTGGTCACCCCAACACAGTGACAAACTGAAGTGGCACGATCTTTGAGGAGCTCCAAAGCTCCATGCAGACTTAAAATGAAAATAGAAATGCAGTACCCCCGACCCCATTTCATTTCCCTTTACATTTATAACCTCTGATCCTGAACTGGATTAAGTGAACAGACAGATGCTGGATATCAGAAAGAGTGCTTTTACATCCTCTGCATTCCGGTAATGACTCAAAACAAGATGAAGCAAATGGACTTCAGGGATAAAGATACATAGAGCTCTTAAGCTATTTTAAGGATCTTGGAGAATAACCACCATCTGTACAACTGAATAATACTAAAGCGTCTAATAGTCCTACACACAACAGAAAAACCTACGAGCTTCTTTCAAAACTGCAGTCACAAGTTACTCAAGAAACAAGACAAACTCTGGGGACTATGTTCTGTTCTTCCAAGGATGGCACCACCTGTTACATACAGGCATTAGCTCCATTTAAATCCAAATTAATAGGTCAAGAGAGGCTCTAATGACTTGTTGATACAGTGCTCAGGAACAGAGCAGAAAGCCGGGTTTCATGACAGCAATCTCAGAATGCCACAGGCTGCCACAGAAGCCTCATGATACAGAATTCAGTAAAAGAGCTATGTTGTTTCCTTTGCAATGTTTTGCCCCAAACATACGCTAAGCTTCCAAACTAAACTTCCCAGGCTAATATTTAATTCTCCGTAAATGATCATGTGACGGATTTCTAATGTTAAATGCTATGTTGTTTTCAGTTTCTTCCCTTAAAGAAGTTGCAAACTCAGTATTCCCCAGACCTCTACCAAATTCTCCATATCTGTCTCTTAGGAAGGTCACGGATCAATTTTCTGCATGAAAAAATCTGAGAGTTATGTGACCTAAAATAAGTAGTATTGACTCATCGCTGTTTGTCCGTAAACAGTAAAGTTATAGAGTACACTGAAACAATCGCAACATTCACAATGAATTGAACCTGGGGTAAGACATCTGTATGTCTTTACTGGGGGCATGATTGTCCACTGCCATCAGCCTTGAATGAATAGCACCATGACTTGGTAGCCTGTGACAATGCAAATGGCCAAGTCTTATGCCTGAAGAGTCTGCTCCTTACGTCTGAGGTGAGGACCCAGAAAGCATTTGTGGTGATTATTAATAATCTCTCAGAAGGTGTGATAGGAAAACATTTTTTCAAATGTAAATAAAAGTTTCCTGAAATACTATATATGCTACTATACATACTACTAAAATAGTATGTTATCTGACAGCATATTTTTTAGGGTGTTTCTGGAGTTTTCTCCCTAACATTATCAAAACTAAAATGTCCAAAATAAATTCCTTTAAACCAAGACTGCTTCTTTTTCTAAATTCCTTACATACTATCCATTATCCCTAACCATGTGGTTATTTTTAAAGATAAGTATCAGGACATGATACTAAAAATGTCAACTATGATATAAAGTTTTCATTTCTTTTAATGTCCATGTACAAAACACAAAAATGACATGGATGGAAAAAATTTAAGGAGCTTTTCGTTATCTTTCACTGGAAAAGGAAAATTTTTCAACAAAATCACAGGGAGAAATGCCCATTTTTAAGCACTGACACAAATTCAGTGGAGAAGTTTCCTCTCCTCTCTATTTCTAACTTAGCTGTATTCATGTAATGAGCTCAGAGGGTTTACAGTCTGCTATAGAAAAGTGGGAGGGGGAAGAGATGAAGCCTAGTGATAAAAATAACAAATGAACCAAATTAATAAATGACAAGATGATAGTCACAACCCTGTCACACCCAACACTCCTTAAAAAAATACTTTCTAGCATGTAGTATTTGGCCAGTTGTCCATTACTAGATTTGGCCTACATGATAATTTGCTTTTCCGTTTTGGTAGATTAAGACGAAAATAACTATTTTATACTTTTAACACTAAAACTTATCTTCATAGAAGAAATCAGTGACACAGACTAACTAAAGTTAATTAGTAGTTAGAACAACCAGCTAAAGTGTAGAGAATCAGTTTGGGTTGTTCTGTTTTGTTTTGAAATGAAATTCATTCAGTTTTACAGCCAATGCACATCCAATTAAATCAAGCAGAGAAGTCCAAATTATGAGAACAGGTAAATTAAAGATTCATTTGTAATTTATACAAAACAGTTCATCCCATGGCAAAACATCATCTGATTTATCAAAGTTTTACTGAGAAGCAATAGAGCTTATAAAGAAGAGTGTTAATCTGTGTTAAAATCCCAGTTCTGGCACTCACTAGTTGCGTTACATCAGAAAATTTAAGGTTCCACTCACTCCTCCCCTAGATGGGTACAATATACAAGATACGACTGAAAAATACGGTGAATGTTTAAATTTTTTAAAATGTGTTGCAGTAAAATACACATTGCTATTAACCCCACTCAAAATACTCCCCCGCCTCCTTACTGCACTGATCCCATTTTCTTGCTACTGTCTACAGCAGCTCTGGAAGCCCTCTTTCATGAGTGTCTTTAGTGGTACTGCAGTAGTGACCTCAGTGCTTCAATCACTTTAGAACCTTTCTATTTCATGTTCATTTTACCTTTGAGGAGGAGCCAGAGATTGCACAGTGCCCCATCCAGGAGTGTGATTGATGGACTATGCACCATAAATGTTTTTATGAACCTGCCTTTTGACTAAATGGCACTCAGGAGTAGCAGTCACAGTATCAGATCTTACACAGCCAGCCACTCAGGTAAAAGGACTTCCAGAACTTCGGTGGCCAGAAAGAATTGAATTTGGGGCTGCGGATTTAGCTTAGCAGCATAAGCACCTGCCTTGCAAGCAGGCGGTCGTGAGTTCGATCCCTGGTACCGATAAAAAGATAAAAAAAAAAAAATACAGAAGAAAGAATTGAATTCAAAACAAGGAAGGATTAAAATAATGTCTTTTACTATAACTTTTATTTAAACATTCACCACATATTTCAGTCACAGCTGTACACATCCTTATCTCATGGAGTTATGGAATTAGATACAATGATGGCCCGAGATGAGGTCTCTGATAAGTAAACCAGGGAGAGGGAGGAGACAGAAGGAGGGTTCGGTCAGAAGGACAAGGAAAGGAAAGGCTGGAAGAAAGATACCAAGGACACAAAGTAAAGGCTGGGGTGAGAAAGATTCAGGAAGAATATCATTTCACCCAATAAGGAGGAAAAATCCCAAGCTCACAAGAGGAATGGATGCGGCCACTCACTGACTCCAGGAAAGCACCAAGAGTTCTTTAGGAGCTGCTGGCTGTAGCAGGAAGCAGCTTAGCCCCAAGCAAGTAGCTATAAAACAAAGTGATGCAAGCAGTGATAAAGACAGAAACCAAGAATGACAAGACTATGAACTGGACCCTGATGGTGTAGGTGGGAGGGGGTGAAGGGCAGCCCCCTGGAGGAGGTAAGCCTTCTGGCTTCACCCTGGATGTGGAGGGGAGAGCCAGGTGACAAAGGAGGAAGACAGTGGCACCTGCATGGCCTGCAGCGGTGGTCCTCAATGGTGAAGACAGGCTGAAGGGGAGAAAGAGTGAGCTAGGGTCCTACAGGAAGTCTGGAGTTTCTGGGCAGAGGTCAGGTGAAAAGAAAGTCTTGGGGGCTTCATCTCGCCAGCAGCAAGACAGCTGTTAGAGGATCTGGGATCAGGGCTGCTGTCCAGATGCAAACCTCACCAGCGTCCCACGGAAGATGCACCTGAGGGAGGGCAAAGCTGCAGCTTTGCCAGTAGCACAGGGAACAACAGTGCCACTCACTCCTAACCACCTGCCGAAACATCCAAACCACCAGGGCGCCCTGTGTTGTTCCAGAGCACCCTGCCTTTGCCCAGACTGCACCACTTTGGGAACGCCCTTGTCTGCTCCTCTTCTGGTTAATTCTTCATTTTTCAGGAAGTGATTCGAGCATGCCTCCTCCAGGAAGTCATCCAGGACCCGAGGCAGAAGCCCTATGGACTTCTTCCCAGCACTCTGAGACACCATCTGCTCTGAGTCCATTCTATGCTCTGAAACTACATGCCCAACTACCTCTCATCCTCTTTGACTGACTGCACCCAAACACATGGTTTTCTGAACTCCTAGACTGGGCACGCTGGCCTCGGCCAGAGTGTGCATTTAATAAACACTCACTGAACTAAACCAAGCTCTGTTCTCCCGCCTAAAACACTTCCACCGTCTCCCCACTGCCTGCTGAATAAAGTCCTAGTCTTCATCCTTGCCTCCATAACCTGGCCTCATCTCCCACCCAAGGCCGCATCCCAGAGTCCAGTCGCCAACAGTTTACTCCCCAAGGTGCTCCTCCAACACGCACACCTTTTATTTTCGCCAAAGCTTCATTCACATTACTCACGTCTCCACAGTTTTCAGTTGTTTAAATTCAGTGCACCCTCTTCTTCATTTTCAACCCTGAGTTAAACACTTAAAAGAAGGCCCACAAAACACACAGCAAACTCCCCCCCTCCCCCCGCCGCCAGCTAAGCATTGTTTCTGCGCCACAGGGTCCTGGTAGCCTCACTGTTGCTTTCTCAGCCAAGGCACAGTGGGGACCCCCTTCCCCCAGGCACACAAGGAGACAGGCTGGGGGAAGCCATCTGGGAGGATGCCAGGACCGCCTGAGGGTGGTGAAGCCCTGTCCTTATTTACTTGTTTGAAATAATAAGCGGAAAGGAAACTGAAGTACTAACTGGACTTAATTTACAACCCTCCTGCCGCAGAACTTCAAAGCCTCTCCAGCATGTGGCCGCTGGGCATAGCCTGCTCCGCATTGGCTACGCTCAAGTGAAAGCTGCATCATCCTGCCCCCAGGAACGCCCGGGAGGCCTGAGGACCAGACCATCTGATGGTTTATTTTAAGCAAAGCATGTGACCCCATTACTGTATGAAACTCGGCTGTTAATATTGTGATAATGTCTTTTTATTAGGAAAAAGCATTAACAGTGGTATTTCTCCACCCACATACTCCAGAAAAAAAAAAAAAAAAACCTTATTCCAGGGATCTGATCTTGCGTGATATCATCTAGACTGTGCATTCTGCTAGCTTGGGATACACTGTGACTAGGTCTGAGGTCCTCAGCATTTCCAAGGACAGCACTATGAAAACAAAGTCTACAAGGGAGCTGAGATTTTTAGATGCTAAATGGACAGAGCTCTCCTCTTTCACAGAAAGTTTTAAAGGTAGCTTAAGAGAACACTATACACATATAGGATGTTTGGTCTCAACCAGTGGACACTTTGCCTTTGGGTGCCACATCACAAGTTTAGGTCAAAGAAGATCTCATAAAAGCATCCAAACATGTGTTCATAACCCCTGGAATATTTCTTAGCCGATGCGTCTGCAAGTAAAGAGTAAACAGCTCTCTTTGGAAACCTTCTGGCAAATGATCTGGCCTAGTGGGCCCAGCAGATGTCATTCCCGTCACCCACTGCAAAGCCCTGTTGGGAAACAGGATTAAATTATAACCTAAAACACTGCCAATGTGATGAGGAGGATTTCTGAAGATGAATCCAAATGGTTCCTCTCCAGCAAGACACAAGTGTGCTATAGGAGGATTCTGTGTGTGCGAAGCAGGGGGTGGGAGTGGGTTAGGGACAGGCACGGGACAGGGGAGAACTGATAAGAGAACGCAGTAGCAATGAGGGTGGCACACTAACATAAGGTGACGATCCTGTCAAAGAGTGGGTAATGGGCGACCAAGGATGACGATCCTACTCTTTAGAACACCTCCCCTCCAGGTCCTCAGTGGCCTTAGATTTGCACAGGATTTATGCTAAAGCAACCTCCCCTCCCAATCGGAGAAGAGCTCCAATTGTGACATCACCCAGTCAGCATTTACAAACCATGGGTGAAGGAATGAAACCACACTGGGTGAAAATCTAAATGCTTTAAAAGCCATTCGCTTGAACTTTTTGTGGTCACAAAAAGGATGGACACATACACAAACACACAAGCGCAGAAGCTGAGGGCCTCTCAAAGTAGCCAAATTTCCCTTCTGTCTCCTGAAACCCAACCACCTGCCTTAAGTGTAAGGCCCTAAGAACTCCAGCTTTGGTTTCCTTCTGGGGGACTACATATGACTCCAAAGCCAAACTAAGAAGAGTCAAGAAAGGTTAAAGCCATGCTTTTCCGCATCACGATCCCAACAACAGGGCTCTGTTTTCAATGTTTTAGTACATGTTTACAGTGTGTAATGATTACCATCCTCATGGGGAGCTTGTACATGCACATAACACATGACCCCGTCCTCTTCCCCTCCCCCTCAATCTCTCCATTTATTTCTTCTTGCAAGATCTCCCTTTTTCCATACTCTTTTATTTTGCTCTTTATTTATATTTTTGGGTTCCTCATATAAAAGAAATTGAACAACTTTTAAGCTTGCATATCTCATTTCTTGCACTTAATATTATGAATCCATTTTCCTACCAATGATACAAGTTTACCCTTCTTTTTTTCTTTTTTCTTTTTTCTTTTTCTTTTTTATTGGTACCAGGGATCAAACTCACAACTGCCTGATTGCAAGGCAGGTACTTACGCTGCTGAGCTAAATCCCCAGCCAGTTTACCCTTCTTTATGGCAAAGTAGGACTCCATTGTGTATAAATACCATATTTTCATTCATCTGCCAATTCCAAGATTAGCTATTATGAATTAGTATTACAACTGTGCTACTATAAACATAGGTATGTACATATGCTATGAGGGTTTTGATATGAATGCACTAAATACTCTGATACTGGACTCTGTAAGTGACATGTCTAGTAGACAGGCTGTGATGACTAGAACTTGGAACTCCAGGACCACAGGTAAGATGTCATATAAAGAGAACCCCAGGATAACCAATTCTCCTTGAAGCCCTCTGACCGGTCACTACCCTCAGTGGAGGAGCTGATGTCACACACTGCACTGCACAGAGACAGCAGGGTGGGAGGCCCAGCCAGGCGGCCTCAGGACCTAACCTCCTCCCAGACGTCTGCAGGTAGAGCAGGGAGAACACAAAATGTGCTCAGGTGCAGCATCTGTTTTCTAGTCAGATCCCAAAACACCCTCCAACTTCTGCCTGCTTTTTTGATGGATCAGATTTCTTCTCACTTTCGTGTTAAAAGTACTTTGCAGCTTGGAGTCTGCTGACAGGTACTATTGAAATAAACAACACATCCCATCTGAGGAGCAGGCCCACTTGGAAGCACAGGAACTATTCTTAACATTCTGTAGAATGAAAGGAAACCATGCACTCTGGCATACACTTTCCATATAAACGGTTTGCTTAATTTACAAAATTATTGAAAATATTATAAAACTTTATATTCAGGCTATGTATAGAACGTATATAGGGAACATAATTTTGTGTTTAGACTTAAGTCCATCCTAAAGAGTTTTCATTGTGTATATGCAAATATTCCAAAATCCGGAAAAAGTTAAGAAAAAATTTAAACATCGCTGATTCCAAGAATCTCAGGTAAGTGATATTAAACCTATCTCTATCCATCCACCAAAGGTTGTAAAGTATATCCTATTCCTTGCATCACAAAAGAACAGTCATGAAGAACACAAACTCAGGAGCCTCAGAAACTACTTGTCCCAGGAGCATGAACACCCCAGCTAAGATGCATTTGTGAACTAACAGTACCTGGTTCTCGATGGCTTTCCTGTTCTTGGGGTCGCTCACCACGGACAGCTGCAGCTCGGCCATCTTCTTCATCTTGCTGTCCATGTCGATCTTCTGAAGCAGACTTCTCGTCTGACTCTTCAGCAGCTTCACAGTGTCCTCTTTCCCATGCTTCTTCGCAAAAAGGGATGCACACGCAGAGTGTATGGCAGTGACCCAATTCTCCAGGTCTGTCTGGCTAGTGGCCTAACACAGAGGAAGGGCAAACATTTGGAAATGATTGTAACGCAACAGTGCCCTCCAAAATGGCAGGCTGAGCTCTGATGTGTAAAACCTAGGAAGCATCTGCACTTCATAAAGAGAGTTTAACCTCAAAAACACATCCAGCTACTCAACTCAGGTCCGGGGGGCCTGAGAGGACACAGAGAGCTGCAGTGAAACAATCATGGAGCCTTAAATAAGACAGGAAGAGTGAGCAGCCACAACAGTAGCAGCTGCAAACCAGGGACACATGGGAAAAAGCTGCTTAACTGTTAGAATTTTAACAGAAGGAAAGATACTGGGGCCAAAATATTGAAATATGTAATCTGAACATATAACTACATCTGTATGACCTCAATTATGAAAAATATCAATAAAAAATTATACAGAAATAATATACAGTAACAACATTAAAGTCACTGTCTTCAAATATTAGGAAAATGGAATGTTTTCCTTTTTCTGCTCTTTGGTACCTGCGGACAATACCATGATTATAAATGAAAAATATTTTATTTAAAAAACAATAAGGAAAGTTTGAATAAGGATAATGACAAGTGGGTAGGATTTTTGAGCAGGCTGAAAAGCACTTCTAATTTATCTTATCCACAGGCCTACTATACAAACCGTGGAGTTTATACTCTGTGGGCTTTAAGATTATAAAATAGGAACAATTGGTAAAACTTCTTAAAACTAAAGATATTTTGCCTGGATCACAAAGTAAAATATTCATTTCATATTTAGCTCTAAGGAACGAACATAAAGATTTAATCTAAGACATCACCGGCCCTACAATCCGGGTTAACATCAATTCCTTACCTTGCTACACAGGAGTACAGAAATTTTCAAACAATTTTTCTTGTAAGTGAAGGAAAATCAAACCTCAGGCCCTGACCCTTGTCAGTTAAGTTAGCTTGGGGATAGCAGGAAGGCTGCAGGTTACTACTGCTATGCCCAGAAAGACCTGTTGCAGTAAACACGACAGACATTTCTAGCTAGAGCTAGCCTAGAGAACATTTGCTCTGCAGGAGCTCTGAAGGCACATAGGGTCCCCTCCAGGGACCTCGGAGGCTTCCCACAATCTTTCCAGCCAAATGCAATCTACACAGCTGGCATTGTATCTACATGAAGTACTAGGTTTAGATGGAGAGGGATTTGAGAAGTACTTTATACTTCCTGGCTATCACTCCTATCTCATTTAAATTACATAAGAATAGTTTAAAATATTAGCCACGTGTGGCCACACGCACTTATAATTCCAGCTATTTCAGAGGCTAATACAGTAGAATCTTGAGTCCACATGTTCAAGGCCAGTATAGGCAATGCAGTCCGATCTCATCTCAAAAAAATTTCTTTAGCACAAACATATGTACATGATATTACTTAACCTTTACAGTAATCCTTTAAATCATTATTATTAATCTAAAATTTAGAGTCTGAACCTCAGTGATGCTTGCTAAGTGCTCCCAAACAACATACATACTCAACAACAGCACCAGGATGCAAATCTAATGCTGACCTATCACCTAGGGCTCAGCACCACCATGTTCTATAACACTGCAATTGCTCGTAAGCTGCTAACAGTAGATAACCTGAATTTTAACATCCTAAGGTCACTTCCACAGGGACAGAGATCTCAGAATATCGGGTCACGAGAGTATTCCAGGAAAGCCTGCTTCTTCTGCTGGACTCTTGGTCACAGACTAAGCTCCTTCTCTACACATTTTCTTAAAAAAGCATCAACTCTGGGGACCCTGGATATGTTACTCTCCATATTGTGAATTAATCCAGAGCAGGGTCCTTATGAATCTTATTTGGGCTTTTGTGAGTATCTGCAGGGCACAGCCCTGGGAACTTGAGACGTGTCCATTGTACCAATGACGAGACTGGCCGTGGCCCCACGGCATAGCAGCAGCAGAAGTTCATACCTCCTGATCAAATCCTAATCCAAAAGCTAACACAGTATTCACTCTTTATCATTTCTAAACTTTGTCATTTCCATTCCTTCTCATTTACTCCATGCCTCTCCTTGGACCCTCCACGTACGGCACAGCAGTACCTGGAAAAGGTAGACATCTCCAAAGGAGTTGCTGAGGCAGAACACGTTTTCCTTCTTGGGATGTTCTGGGACAGACTGCACAATGCTGTCCTCAGCAAAGAGGGCACATCGTGGGGCACTGCTCTGGTCCATGGAATTCTTCCCATAGGTCTCATAAAACAGCAGGGTACAGCCTGGAAAAGACAAAAGCAAGATAATAAATGTCCCCACTGCCCAACTGGGGTAAGGAAAGGCAAAGGCATGGAGAAGGAAGCGACGTAGCCAAAAAAACAAAACAAAATCCCAAAACTTGAATGAGATGAATATGTAGTACAAACACAATTATCAAAGAAAAGCTGGCTCCTGAAGAAGGCTTCACTGTGCTAGTGTGAACTCAAGTGAGGTGTAAACGTAACATCAGTGGTAACAATGCCAAGCATCATTGCTTCATTCCTCCAGATACTCCACACATGCTGGCTCCTTTAATTCCTTTTCCACAAGGCCAGCAGGGTTTTTTAAATTGCTCTCCAGACAAGAGACCTGGAAGAAAGCTCTCACCCACACAGCAGTGTGGACAGCAATGGAGCAACGGTCTGACCTGTATCCGGGTTCTTAAGCACAAGGCTGCACTACCTAGGAGACCTGCACAGGGGAGGCGGAAGAAATCCCCTGCTCATCAGTCTCACCTGCGATTTGTGGCAGCAGTAACTAGAAACTGAGTATACTGACAGAACTTTGCCATTTATGAGAAAATACTCAGTTGATTTATCCTCCAAATGCCATGTAACTTAGTGTATCTTTTACCTCATGGTAATAGGAAATGTTATAATAGTCTTATTAATTTAGGCTAAGGAAGAAAAATTTAAATATGCCTTTGAATATTACTCTAAAATGTTGCTACTTTTTTAGGTACTTATTTTTCCTTAATAAGCTAATAAAGTATTACAGATGGAAGTTATTGAGGGCCTGTTTTACTCATTAGATAGGAATGTCATTCATATTAGACATGATTTTGGAACAAACTGATGCTTCCAATGAGCATGCAAGTATGTTTCCTTCCAACCTGTATCTGAGAAACATTTCCGAGCACCTCTCACATGTCAAGCTCCTGCAAATATGTATAGTGATGATGTGGTAACTAACTATCTGTGCTCTGAAAACCCCTTTCACCCAACAGTAGGCACTGACAGTGAACGCAGCGACAATGTATCCCACTGCACCATGTCCTCGTTCATATATGTTTTAAAATCTATGTGACTCTTGTTAGTTTAATTGCTTCCTCTAACACTAAGTCTTAATAGGAACAAATAACAGAGCACAGAAGCCAGGACAAGAAGATGCTCCAAGCTTGGACTTCAAAGACAGCACTTTCTCCTCCCATGGCAGTCATACTGAGCAACTGCTCCTCCTAGCAGGTAAAATTCAACCATGGGCTGGGGTGCAGCCCAGTGGCAGAGCCTCTGGTCAGCATCCTGGGGGACCATGAACTTCATCCCTAGCATAGGAAACTAAATCAGAAACGTCATCTAAACTGGTAGGCTGAGTACATTCACATATTAAGATAAGGGAAAAGAACAAAAAATTAAGGCCTGAAGCTCCTCCTTGCAGGCCTGAGGCACTCTCTTTTTCCACCACGATGCCTTTGCAAACAATAAGCCCAATCTTCACATCAGGAAAGGCTGTTCCTGTCTGAGGAACATGCCATGTTTCACGATCTGTGACCCAAGGACCAGGGTAAAGTGACAGAGCCATGCCAGCTATACTACATCCAAAAATTTTTTCCAGTGGGTTAAACTTTACTTCCCAGGTCCCCTAATACTGTATTCTAAAGGCCATGATTTGAATCATTACATCTAGAGGAAACAAACGTAAACACTGGAGGGGTGCCAAGATTTTACCACACACCCCATCCCCAGACCACAGCTCAGTGTGGACAGTTCATTTCAGAGCCCGACCTCAATGGCAGCACCATATACACAACTTTGTGCCTGCTGAATTTAAAGAACAAGAAATCAATCTTAACCCTGCTACATCAATTTTAACATGAAAGAACTCTATATCTGCAAGCGGGTGCTGGAGTTACAACACAGCGGACCTGTGTTAATGATGTCTCTTTTTATCTGCCCCAGTGCTGCAGCCAATAGCCATGACTTGTGCCCACCAGGCAGGGGGATTGGCCTGAAGGGATGACAGTGGATGGTTTCCTTAGCACAGAAGCAGAAAAAAATTTAAAGACTGTAACAGTAGTGAAAGTACAGCAGAAGGGACAGGAATAGAAATACCAGAAGTGGGAGAGAACAATCAGTCTCGGCCATCCCTTAAATACATCTTGCCCCTAACATTTCTGGTCCCATACTTTCCCTAAATTCTCTGCTTCTGGGAAACCTCAGGACAAAAATATTGACTTACTAAAATCATCTGATGAACTTCTCTTCTGATGTTGCACAAAGTATGCTGTGCATTTTGAGGGATATCTTTAATAACCTGTGAACTCTTCATTCTAGGAAGTCCCTATGAACTATATGAAAATCCACAGATTAGAAAGACAGTTAAAAAGCAGAACTACCCTTGTTAAAAAATTTATTACAGTCTCCCAACCCTGAAAAACATTTGCGCCCTTAGCATCCCTATACATGCAATGAAAGCAGCTCACCAGACAGCTGGCTGGCAACTGCTGTCTACAGAAAACTCTTTCCAATTTACCTACATAGATATTTGAAGTACAATTTTAAAATTCTGCCTTAATGAACTTACATGCTTTTAATTAGGATGAAAACAAAGAGTTAACTCCAAACATTGCAACTTGGACTCTAAGTCAAGAAAGTGGAATTTTAACACACTGAATTCCCAGAGGAAAAAGGTGTAGAAAGCCATGTGGGAAAGGTCAGGCTGGGAAAAACATTTTTATCATGTGCTTAGCCTTGGCTGAAAGGAAATGAGGAATGTGTGTTTGATAACAATTACAAAGCACCCTTTATCCATGCATCTTGAAGTGTTTTACAAGCAAGCTTTAAGAGAGCAGGGCACAGGCAGAAAGATCTTAAAGTAGTCAAAGAAAACTCAGCCCATCCCCGCCCCTGAAGTCAGCAGCCAGAAGTCCTGGTCTACCTTCCAGGGTGAACTGTGGGCGCCTGGCAATGAACCCTTCCATGACACCTGCCTACAGCTGACTCGGTTCCCCATCCCAACCCACAACAAGGAGGCTCTGAAAATCCAGCTGTGCAACAGTGTTGTCAGAAGCAAGCAAAGCAAGAAGGTATGGCACTGTCTTCCTGCGTGCCTGTGGTTTTAGACGTGGTGGTTGTTTTCAGTGACACACAGTTGGCCTCACCTCCAATAGTCTCATCCTAACCTTTGGAGAATCAGAACAAAGTCAAGTTCCCTTTACAACACTGAGGCTCACACTCACCCCAGTTCTTATTTTCACTGGGATAAAGATTCCTAGATCCTGATGCCCTCTTCCATATGATATGGCTCAAAATCCTTTCACTGTCGGGGAAGGCTCTGCTCTTGCAGGTAAGATATGGTCATACATACCTTCACACCACCACCTTCCATTGCTGTGGAGAGGAACCCAGGATTTTCAAAGCAGGCAGGGAAAGAACTTTCAAAAGCATTAATTTTAAGAAACAAATTTTAATTTCAAAAAAAAAGAGGCACATGACACATTATGGATTAAGTGCTTCCATTCTAAGAGCTTCACCAGTGATTCATAAACAATTCCGGGTGTTCAGCTCCCCATCACCACCAACAGGTTCACTCTCTCTCCAGATAGGGACACTTCAGGTAAAGCTTTCTCAAGAGCCATTTTCCTGTTAATGAACAAGTCCTGTCCAATACATACCAGGCCTGCTAGGAGGGAAATGGCCAGCTCTGACTGAGGCAAAGGAAGGAGAATGCGCCTCCTTTGCAAAAGACATGATGCCTCTGTCAGAGGCGAGGATCACACTGATTTTTACTTTGGCCTTATTACTAAAGAAATTCATTATGAGTCTGCAATCAAATTCCCAAATCTTTCTCACTTATATCACAATCGAATCTCCCTAGCCTATCATGTATAGCTCTTTAACTTTTAAGCCTGAAGACATAACTTCTTAGCCCATCAAACTATTGTATTACTAGATTCAACACATTATTCCCACTTTGCCAAATCTCTGCTGTCCTTCATATAAAACTGCCTCGCCCATATACAAAAACTGAGTAAGTTCTTTGCCGTTCTCAGCCATAATGTACCACAGGATCCAAATCTAGAGTCCAAAAAGACTGCAGTGGGGACAGATTACTGGCTCCTTTATAGCTCACACACCCTTTCCCACTCCACACAAGGAACAGTGTTACTCCAAAGGTATGTCTTACCAGAGGGGTTTATGGGTAATCAGACATGGTGCCTGTGCTGCAAGGCTGTGGGAAGGTTCCATATTTATAACTAGGGGGCAAAGGAGGAACGCTTGTGTGGGGGGGCAATCCAGAGGGCTGCAGGCATTTCACATGTGCTATCTACAGAGATGCTATTCCATTTCAGCCTTCTTCCATGCCGGGAAAGGGTGCCACCTGATAACAAGGTCTGACTTTTAACACATCACATTCAGATCCTGTGACAGAGACACAGGAGCGCTGTGCAAAATGCCAGCCTGTTAGGCTTAGATGCTGCTCCTCCTGTTTGCATCTGTATAAATTAGCACTGTGTAGATTAAGGGGCTCCAGTTCCTCCCAAGACATTTAGATTTCTTCAAATCTACAAAACCATCATAAACAAAGCAAATATACTTTTAAATGGCAATGCTTGAAGAAACATGTATCATCTTAACAAATTCCTGTTTTTATTTCCTTCATGAAGGGGTGAGGGAGAGAGAGAGAGAGAGAGAGAGAGACAGAGAGAGAGAGAAGGAGGAAAAAAGAAAGAGGGAGAGAGAAAAGGGATGGGAAAAGGGTGGGAAGAAGACAGACAGAAAGCAGAGCTGCACTTGGAGCTAGTAGCAGATCCCAGGGATAGAACACATGCTTAGCATATGCAAGACCCTGAGTTCCATATCCAGTGTAAAAGAAAAACAAAAACAAAAACAAAAACAAAAACACCTGCCCCTGCTGGTAATAACTAGACTTTCATAGTTCATAGAAGTGAAACGCTATAATCCAAGAATCCAGATGACATTCAAGCTATGAAAAATACTGCTTGCAAGTTCTGGAAATGTGCAGGGTGTGAAATTTGAGGTTGCATTCTTAATAACTAAACAATGCTTTGTAGTTTTAGTTTTATCTCCTCCACATACACACACACACATATAGGAATAGTATCAGAGTGGTGCAGTAATACATAAAAAATAATAAGCAATGGCCTTTAAATTAAATCATTACTGTTAGACTGGACACTAGGTATGCAGATAAGTAAGCCAGAGTATACAGGTTTGGCAAAGGATTTACAGTAAATCACATTGTGAGACTCTGTATTGAATCCCTCTCATTAACCCTGAGGGATGCAGACCTCAATGACACTTTCTCATGAGGAGTTCAGGAAAGGTAACAAATGCCAGTGGCCCTCGGGAGTTACAACAACATGCTTACCCTTAAGTGTTACCCAGTACTGTTTCCACTTCCTTCGAGCCACCAGCTCCAGCTTCCTTTCTTTCTGCAAGGTGACAAGGGGTTTGAAGAAAAGCCACCCGGCTTTCCGCACCACTCCCTGCTCCTTCTCAAAGAGCAGATCCAGTTGCTCAAGTGAGCTGAGCGACTCACTGCTGGATTCCACAGTTTCTGTAGATGTTTCTATGTGCTCGGCGTTGGTCCTGCTCATTTCCAACTCCCGCATGAAATTCTCGTAAATGTTCTGTTGAAGAGGATCGCTGCCAATTGCATGAGTGGATTCGCTTCTCTGAGACAGGATCTGAGCCGAGCCCGCTGGCCACAGTAGGGTGGGCACCTGAGACAGCGCCTGCATATCTGCATTCAGTCCATCAGAGCAGCTGTCAAAGCTGGACCTTGGCTCCTGCGTGCAACACAATTGATCACCGTCAGAGGTGAGGGTATCCAAAGTATCCCCCCTCAACAAAGCCTCAGTGTCCCACCAGTGGTCACTAATAATGGCGGTGTAAAGGAATGTTCCTGTAATAAAAACACATCTGTAATTATCATGCCTTGAAACCAGAAAGAATTTTAGAAATGGTATTGCCCAACCCAATTTATATCAGTGAAGTCAATGCTTAAATAAAATACCACTGGTTCTCCTAAATCAAACATATGTTTAGCATTAAGAAATTAGTACATTTAAAACACACTAGGGAAGATTTTTAGAATGCATTTTTTTCTTCTTTGCAAACCGCGAATCAATGTCTTCCCAGAAAGAATGTATGCTTGAGATCTATTTTCCTTCTAGACTATTTGAAACCTGAGTTAGAAAACCACTAGTTGCATGGCAGGGTAGAGCGAATAGCTAGGACCTGTTCTGCAAAACCCCACAAACTTCTCTCTTCTTCTATGATAAACACATACTATGCTCAACTTCTGGCTGACAACCCACATCCAGACTTCTTAACTCAAGAAATCTCTAGTATCTTATTTTCCTAGTTCATATGGTAAAGACCATGCGCTGAGGATTCCTTGTCAGCAGAGGGTACTGGTTAGTAACTGTAGCTTTTTCCCTTCATATTTTAAAATTTAATTTGGGACTTTCTTTCATTAAAAGAATATAGTCACTTGTTCACATACTTTTAATTGAGCATATATTTTATTATAGGTACTGGGAATACCAAGGACATGATTCCTAACTTTAACATTTTTGTCTGAACACAAAAATCAAACAAGTAGGCCAGGCATAGTGGTGTGCACTTATAATCCCAGCACTTGGGAAGCAGAGGCAAGATGTCATGAGTTCAAGGACAGCCTGGGGTGCATAGTGAATTCAAAGCTAGCCTGAACTATATAGCAAGACCCTGCCTCAAACCCCATACCCCAAAAATCAAACAAGCAGTTAAAAATTCACAGTTATACTATAACAGTTGCCTCTCTATTTGGACTAGTTATACTAAACCTAGAGTTGAACATGTAGAGAGCTGAACACAAAGAATGGTCAAATGTGCTGACATTCCAAATTTATAGATTAGAGCAGTAGATCACTTATGGTATGCATGCAGCAGTGGGCTGTTTATATTATTAAGAGTGCTGAAAGGCTCACCATCACTGGCTTAGATTAAGACAGCTGCTAAGAAAGGCTAAACACATTCAAAGTCTATTCAGCTGTTAGTATGCCTCCCGTAATATTTCTTACGCACCAAGAGCAAAGTGAGGGCAAAGTTGGTCCAGGACTATGGATTAAAGACCTATTTTACAATATTCCAGTGTGGGTAAATTTGCCTTTAAGAAACACATCAGGGGCTCGGGGTTTAGTTCAGTGGCATAAGTGGCTGCCTGGAAAATGTGAGGTTGTGAGTTTGATCCCCAGTACCAACAATAACAACAACAAAATCCAGAAATCAAAGAGCATTGACTTGCAATCTTTCATAGGCAAAATCATCATGCATTTGAAGAGTACTTCCAAATGTCTAGAAGCCCCAAACATCACCATTAACAATGAAAATATTTTCTGTGTGTTCACACTATGTCTTATAGTAATATTTATTTATATCCTGATGCATCTGCAGAACAAGTAAGCCAGCTGCTGTGAATCACTCAGGAACTTTCAAAATATTTTAAGATTTTCCTTTAAATTGTCACTTTATTATTCTTCAAAAACTCCTAGGAGACACAGAATACTTCTTAGTTAGCTGGTATCAACATTTCTCCAGCTACGACTATGCCTGTCTAACTCACTGCCCCAGAATACCAGGATTACCTCTGCCAGCCTACAAGTGTCATACGGAGTGTTTCAAAATAAGCAAAATGCTGCCAGAAAAAAAGCACACACAGGCAAGGTTACATATGACCTATTGTCATGGTTTATGTCTGTGGCCCCCAAGCCTCATGAGTTTGCATTGTGCATTTGTGATTGGTTCATTGTCTAGCTTGGATTGATGATGTCAGTGCTCCACCCACCTAGGGGTGGAGCCAGGATGTGATGTAATGACAGGAAGAAGGTGTGTCTGGCTCTTTTGCCGGTTTCTGCCTTGCTGTTTGCAGCCACCATGAACTGCAGCCTCACCATGCCAGCCAGCCTTGGAGTCGACTGAGCATGGACTGAAACCTCCCAAAACTGTAAGAAATAAACCTTTCCTTTCCCAACTTTGGGCTTCAGGTATTTTGTCTCAGCAAAAAGTAACTAGGACACCTATAAACACTCCTTGTCATTCTTTCTCAGAATAGACTTCAAGTTATAGTGCTAATTATCATATATTCAACCTTAGCAAGGCAACATTTCCTTGAGACATGAAAAAATATTGTACAATAGCATTTAGAACTGATTCCTCATGCATAGACATGAGTTTTCCCAGTCTGTAGTCAATTTCTAAAGTTTCAATATGTAATCTTAACAGCCAATGATGAATTTTCAGGCTAACAATGGCTTTTGAGAAACTTTTTTTTTAAAAAGGCTTTCATCACTTTAGATAGAATTCCTAGTTACTGTGTTGTAAATGTGAAGGTACTTGTTATACATGGACAAAAAACACGACTTCCATTTCCTTTCAATCACCTAACCATAGACAAAGGATAACATAACCTGACTACTAGGTTACCGTACCCAAAGGTAGAAAGGGATGTCACTCCACTGAAAAACATTGTATTAATACTCATTAATACATGAGTCCAAACAGTGAAACTCAGAAGAGAGGAAAAAAAGGTTGCCAAGGGGTAGAAGGTGGGCAAACGGGGTACAATGTCAGTTATACAAAATGAATATGTCTGAGGTCTGAATGTACGTGAGCGTGACTATAGTTAGCACAGTGTGACTATAGTTAGCACAGTTTTTTACACTTGAAACTTGCTGAGTACACTTGAAATGCTCTCACTGCAAAAAAAGTATGAAGTGACAAATGTGTTAACTAACTTGATTGTTATGATCATTGCATGATATGCACTTATTTCCAAGTATCAAGTTGCAGACTTGGTAAATGTATACAAGTGCTATTTGTCAATTGCATCCCAAGGAAGCAGGAGGGTATTAGTAACTTCTCAGCAGCTAAGGGAAAACTGATTATCATTCCTCACATTCTAGGAAAAGTTACTAACTTATTCACACCTGTAGTGCTTGTCTGCCAGCACTTCCTACAAAGTATTTCTGAGTCTTCCCTAGATACTCGGCATGATAATTTTCTATCCCCTTCCTTCCCTTGAAGGTAGGCATGGCCATATGCCTTGCTTTGCCCAATAAATGTAAGAAATCAAATGTGTTGCTTCCAAGAGGAAGCTTTAAAATTCAATGCCAAACAAGGCACACCTATAATCCCAGCTATAATCCCACTGGCTCAGGTGTCTTGAGATGGGAGGGAACTGAGTTTCAGGTCAGTCTGGGCAATTTAGTCTCTGTCTCACAATTAAAAATAAAAACAGCAGGAAGTACAGCTCAGTGACAGAGCACCCTTGGGTTCAATAACTAGTACCAAAAAATTAAGTCAACAGCAATTTGTTTTTCTTCTGTTCTGTGGGTCCTAGGGAACCATGGGGACTATGGCCACCAGCTAACTGGAGATGACAGTGCAGCATGACTGAGAGAACAGTTTTGGAGACTAAACTACAGAGACTTGAAGAGTTTTATTACTGCAGCGAACTGTAGCCTACCCTGACTGATACAACTGAAAATCTAACCAGGACAGCACAAAGGTCTCACTGTACCTAAAATTAGTTTGAAGAGTTTATGTGATTCAAGAATATACTACCAGCTAACACATGTTTCTTCTCTTCCTCTCCTCTTTCATTGGTGTACTATTCTTCTGGAGTTGTGTAGGTTTTTCATAGATTAATCTGCTTTCGGGTTCTTACCAGGGCAGGTTTAAAACCCTATGCATAAAAGACTACTTTCTTTTATATTACTGCAAAACAAATACCTATCATGTAAGACTTTCTACACCACTACCTTGTTGGCGTGCAGGAGTCTGAGAGATGGGGAGTGAAGGGAAAAGCAGGATAGAGGTTTGGTGCTTTATTAACAGTACAGTATCACACATTGCTCCCATGCTTAGATTGCAGATTTAAAAAATCTAATTCCAATGTCTACCTTAAATGGTAAAAGGAAAGCAAAGCTCCAGTCAACAGAATGGCATTCTTATAAAAAAATTAAAAAATAAAAATTAGTTCCTTTCACACTTACAATTTATCAATTGTAGGAATGCAAGCAAAGGGGGCTGGAGATTTAGCTCAGCGGCATAAGCACCTGCCTTGCAAGCAGGCGGTCGTGAGTTCGATCCCTGGTACCGATAAAAAAGAAAAAGACAAAAAAAAAAAAAAAAGGAATGCAAGCAAAATTTTAAAAGCTAGGCCCGTTTTTAAAAATCTAAAAGTTTTTCATCTTATTGTTCAATAGCCACAAGTAATTAATGGTAGTTACCAACACTACCTCAGCTATGGACTGAGTGGAAAAAGCCTGAGATTTCACAGAAATGGCATCAGCCCTCGCTATGGTTTATATTTAGATGCCCCCCCCCAAAAGCCTCATGCAATCATAGGTAGGGCTTTGGGAAGGTGACTGGATCATGAATGCAAGATATCAGACTAGTCACTGATGAGTTATAATTAAAAGTGACTTGGGAGGGGAAGCCTGCTTGGTGGAAGTGGGTCACTGGGGGCGTAGCTTTGGGCGTGGCCACTTCCTTGATCCCTTTCCTGCTTCCTGCTTCCATGCCATGTGCTCTTCATCTTCTGTGATGCCTCTCTGCTATGCCACCCTGCCTTGGAGCCAGCTGACTAGAGACTGGAACCTCTGTGGAATATGAGCCAAAATAAACCTTCCTCCTTAGAGATGCGGGTGTCAGACATTGGGTCTCAGTGAAAGTAACTAAGACAGCCCTTCCTCCCCATTAACTAGTCATACACCATCAGGAAGGACCCTCAAACTCCACAAGCCTTCAGCTTTCTTTAAAATGAAGGGAAGTCCCTTCTAGCTTTTAAGTTCTTAGTCACTGTGTTCTTAATTCTTCAGGTACCCTAACATCTCAGAGTTAAGTTTTCAGTGACACAATTGGACAGTGAAAGCCTGCAAGTGACAGAAGTGGTCATCCAGGTGGCAAGTGTCCTGCCCTTGAACTGTGAAGCTGAACTCAGTGGGTTCCATGGAGTTGCATATGCAGCAGGCGGAAGGCACATTCAGTGCAGGCAGGAAACAGGAGTAACTGGCTCCCTGACAGCGTCACCTGGGGGACACAGCAGATGAGCCATGTCAGTAGGCAGCTGAACATGGGCCGCTTCTGTAACAGAGATTTCTCAATGTGGACTGCAGTCCAAAGTCCCCAGGGGCGATGGCCCCATCATGCTACTCCATTATTACCAGCTGTCTGGGAAATGAGACTCAAAAAAAAAAAAAAAGGCCAAAGAAATCTCCACTATTCTGTAATTTAGCCAAAGAAGTGATGACTAAGGAGTAAGCAAATGACTATATCTGGGGAAATGAAGAGGTCCTGGAGGCAGGATGGTTATCATGTCTTCTTCATGTCTGTGGGAAGGAAAAAGGGCACCCAGGCAAAATCCCAAGGGTGGTAACTGTGGCAGGCAGGAAGAAACTAGTGGTCAACTGTATAAATCTGAAATCAACTCAGGGAAATTTCATCCAACTTTTTAAGATATATATATGAGATGGTTAAGACAATTGTGCCACAAATTAATTGCTCATTTAATTTCCCTTCAACTCTTTGACTTACCTAAGCAACAAACTAAAAAGTTTTCTTCCTTCTATAATTAAAATAAAAAACCACCATCACCGGAACATCTAACAAATGCCACTGGGTCTTAAAAGGGCAAATTATATTTTTCTTACTGGCAGCTAAGCCACTTTGTTCCCTTAACAGAACTTCATATAACATGAAAATTTATTATCATCCTGATTCCTATTTTAGCATTATTATTTTTGTTATTACATGCACCTGGATATAAGACATTTTCAAAATCTGATTAGCTAGCCAAATGAGGATGTGGTCAGATTATTCATGTAGATGCACTGTCAATTTTTTTTTTCCTGATACACCAATTTTAGCAGAGAAATTTAAATTTTCCAAGGAATACCAAATTCCGGGAGCCTACTTTTCTAAAAATAACCATGTGTACCTAATCCTTTTTGCTCAGGCTGAAAGAGCTCTAGCAAAGTACCCAGATAACCAACTCATCCAGGCATTTTCCCAACTCTGTTCTTTTCTTATAACATTGGCCAGGTCATATGATAGGCCTACAGAGCTCATACACATGCAAGCATGGAATCTAGGTGCTGGGTGCTTTGTAACCTCTCAAAATACTTAAGTTGAACCTTAACCCCCAGTGGGATGATACTAGAAGGTTGGACCTCTGGGAAGGATTCAGATATAAATGAGGCCACTAGGGTGGGGCTATTATAGGATTAATGTCCTTATGGGAAGAGGAAACCTAGAGGTCCCTTTTCCCTACTAGATAAGCACAAAGTGAAAAGGTGGCTATCTACAGCCAAGAAGGCCCTCCCTAGAATTTGCCCACACTGGCACCCTAATCCTTGGCTTCCCATCTTCCAGAACTGTAAGGAATCTATCTGTGGTACAAGCCACCTGGTCTATATTTCACTTGCAGACCTCATTCACTAAGACATGGAAAGACTAAAGTCATGGGCTAAGAGTGAAAACATGTATCTCAAGCAAACAAGGAAGAAAAACTCCACCTCAACAGAAGGTGTGCCAGGTCTTACACTAAGCTCTTCCCTTTCACTAGCTCACCTAGGCTTCCAGGTAACTCATACCATTCCTGTTTAACAGATGGGGAAACTGAGGGACTGCCCCTTCCGCCCCTGTCCTCACCTGGAGTTTCCTCTTCTTCCTTGAGAGGCTTCCTGTCCAGTCGCTGATGCGTCGCATTCTGCCTTTGAGGGTGTCCTTCTTTGCAGTATCCTCTGTTAAGGCTTTGGACTTCCGGCAGGGAAGGGTGAAGGAACTGTACTGGATGGGGTCCCTGTGATCTACCCTGGAGGGCACATCAATGTCAGATGCAAACGAGACGCGATTGCTCAGGCTGGTGTGGGAGCCAATATATTCGTCAGAAAGGCAAAAGCCAGAGGGGGAGCGGCTGGCATCTTTGTACAGATCCCGAAGGGAGGACAGGGAAGAGCTTTGGTTGAAAGGCTTTTTGGCATCACCAGGTGGGAAGCTGGTGGGAAGGCTAGGATCGGGGGTGCTGGGAGCTAAGAAGGAGCCCTCCACCTCGCTCAGCTCCCCAGCATTGCCCCAAGGAGAGTCATACCAGGACAACTCCGAGCTCAGGGAGCTGCCTTTGCTGGAGCGAAGGCGAGAGTCAGTAGGTGAAGGGCGCTGGCTGGCCGGAGAATCAGCACCAGAGTCCCTCCTGGCTTCTGGCACAGGGAAGGTTCCGGATGCCAAGGTAGGTGAATACCTCAGCAGCTGCACTGGACCGCTTGGGTCCTCTGCTGGCCCCTTGCTGTGGTTGTCACCATTGTGGAACTCGACCCTTAAACACCCATCCAGCTTCCCCAGCGTCTTGATGAGCACTCTGGGGCTACGGCGGTCTTCACCTGGTGGAGTCGGGGCAGCACTCTCATTTCTCCCATAGCAGTTAAGGAGGTGTCCGTTGCAGTCTTTCGAGGTGATGTGGTTGTCTGCTGGTTTGTGGTCATCACAGTGGAAGCCATTCTCGGGGGAGAAAGCAGCACTGTTGACCTGGAAATCATTTCCTGAGGCACTTGCCCTGTGCTTGGCATAGGTGATGCCTTTGGACACTTTGCCTGTGGGCCCACTGAGTCTTGATGCGTAAGGCTGATGATTCTTAAAGTGAGAAAGGCAGCTTCGGGCCAGGGACCTGGACTTGTAACCTGTACCACTGCTCCCATGAGTCCATCCATGCAACGACTTCTCATCTTTTGCATGAATGCTGCGTATTTTCAGGGAGCAAGGCTTTTGCTTAGCACCAGTAATAGCATTGCTATGGTTTTTAGATCCTTGAAGGGTGTACTGACTCTCGGAGTTGCCCATTTTAACCTAAATTAAGTACAGTTGTGTCAGTAAAAGCCATGACCTAAATCACATCCCATTATCATTAAACTTTCTGAAAAATAACCTCTTGTGTATTATATAGGAAACAAACAACTTTTTTCTGTGCCTGGCCCAGTTCAGGAGTAGAGCTAAGAGTTACTTACTGAGTTGGCTGTCCTTATCATGCAAGGCTACTATTGCATACTCATGTGCTAGTTATTTTAAAGACATTATTTGCAGTACAATGTCACTGCAGAATTGAACAGGCATAAAAATCACCTGAAGGCAGAGACTTCTTTTGGCCTTAGAAGTGGCAGGCTTCGAACTGACAATTCCTGAAAAGAAAAATTAAGGAACAGTGAGTTGTTAGCTCTTCCAACCTTTAAAAGTCGGCCTAGACAGCATGGCTTTTCAGTGACCAGAGAGATACATTTTTATTACATGTAAGTGACTGAAGAGCTAATGGCTTATCATTAATATTGGGGAATCAGATACCAAAATCCTTGCATGCTTCCTTATATATAATATTATGGTAGTACGTTCATACTTTGATACACAATTGCTTTGAAATTTATAAAATGTGGTACACAACATATTTTAATGAAAAAATTTTGTCCTGGTGCTCAATATTTAGTATTTGACATATAAACTAGAATCAATTGCTTGGTGACTTGCTACCTTTTCCAGCCAAAAGAATTTGTTGTTAGTCCCTAGGTGCAACTGTATTTGCATATAACCCATGCACCTCCTCCCAAACACTTTAACTCATCTGTTAATTACTTATAATACCTAGTACAATACCTAGTAAATGTCATGTAAATAATTGCTATATTTTATTGTTTGGGGAGTAATGATGGGGGAAATGTCTGCACATGTTTAGGACAGATACAATAAAAATAAAAGTATACTCAATCTGTGGTTGGTTGAATGTGTGGGTACATAACTCCTAGATGCAGAAGGCTGACTTCATAAGAGATTAATACACTAAAACTATATTTGTAATAACATAACCCCATATACTAGACTCTCTGGGAGTTCTTATATATCACAAAATGTGAATATCACACCAGACAAGTAATAAAGGTCTTTAAAAACAAAGCTAAATTGAAGGGGGAAAAAAGGAGTAAAACAAGAGCTCCCATCTTAGAAAAACATTTCAATAAAATGAATTTCTAGAGCTGTCTAAAGACTTCAAGCATCTTCACTCTAGAGCATGACGACAGAAAAGTCCAAATCTGACTTGGCAGAATGTGGACAACAGCTGGGTGTGATGGCTCATGCCTGTGATCCTAGCACTTGGAAAGCTGAGACAAGAGGATTGTTGCAAATTCGAGACCAGCCTGGGCTACAAAGTGAGGTCAAGGTTAGCCTGAATTACATAGCAAGACCACATCTCAAAAGACAAAAAGAAGTGGACAACAGAACAAGGTCCCTTCACAGCCCCAGTGAAGCCAAATGCAAAGTGAAATTTGCTCCAAACCTTGCCCCATTTTTCCTTTCTTAGCAGGGCATCGCTCACTATTGCAGGCAAGTTGGAGCCAATATTTCCAGCTAGATTCCCAGACACAGCAGATTTTTAATTCTTTCATATCTAAGAATCTATAGGTACAAAGCAGAAGTCAAATGGGTTGCCTTTTCTTTGGCGGCAGTTATCAAATTTTTAAAAACAAAATTACAAGACCAAATAATGAAACCATGATTTACTACCTTACATGGATCTGCACTTGTTGTGAACCACATATAGGTGAGCTGGGATTACCTGAAGTCTGGCTTTTTCTCAGAGAGAGGCTAAATGTCGGTTGACCTTACATGGTCTTGGGAGCAATGCAGCATATTTAAAAAGCATGGGAAATGAATCCATGTATTTCTTGAAGCAGTCCTGCAAAACAAATACAAGAAAATTCCATCAAGTATTTTATACACAGATTATCTGGTGTCCAGAATAACTGTCAAGATAATATGTGAGATGTCTGCGAGCTGCCTGAGTCATCAGGTTGCTTGGAAGATGTAAAGGAAGCCAGGCCTGTCTGTTCTTCTAGTCTCCTAAAAGCACCAACTCAACACCAGTCTGCAATCAAACACCTGTCTTTGTTTGAGAGCAGGTGGGAATGCTCAAGTGAGTCATGCTTAGCTCATCCTTCACCACTACCAGGAAAACAGCCCTGAGCCTCACCTGCTGACAAGCTGCCGGGGCACCTCCTGACAGGACAAGAGCGGCCCACTGTTCTCTGCTTGACTAAGCAGTAAAAACAAAACCCCAAATGTAAAAATCCCAGTGAACCGCCCTTGGCTAAAGTAAGTTTGGTTACAGAAGCTGACCTCATCAATGACATTAAAACTGTTTTCAAACACGTGTTAGAAGAGTGGAACGAGAGGCCTGCCTCGGAGGGATGCGGTGGCACGGTTTCTGAGAGACAAGAAGGGCTGGGAGAGCAGCTACCATCTGGTGACATTCACTGCCCAGAGACAAAGGCTTCATGTTCTTCACAGGCCCAGAAAGCAGTGAGGAGCGATGGAGAGGAACTTTACAGTTCCTTTCCTCGCAGTCTGCTTGTGGCACTATTATACAACTGACCATCCTGTAAGGGTATAGTTCAATAGTGTGAAGTACACCCACACATTTTTGCACTACCATACTACCACCCATCTCCAGAACTCTTCCCTTTTGCAAAACTAACGTTCTACACCCTGTATAGCAACTTCCTGCTCTCCACGCCCCACCAGCCACTGGCAATCTCCATCCTACTTTCAATCTATGAAGCTGACAACTCTAAGTACCCATGTAATAGAATCACACAATATTTGCCCTTATTGTGACTAGCTTATTTCACATAGCATAATGTCCTCAAGGTTCATCGACATAGTAGCATATGTAAGGATTTCCTTCAGACACAACAACATCCTGTGACATGTGCAAGCCACATGTCTTGTATCCATTCATCTGTGGGCAGACACTTGGCTATTGCAAGCAATGCTGCTATCAATGTGGATTGGCGATTCTGCTTTGAGAGCCAGAACTTTGTGGGGTCTGTACTCAGAAGTGAAAGTGCTAGAGCAGGTTATTCTATTGCTGATTCTTTGAGGAATTGCCTCACTGTTTTCCATAGCTGATGCAGCATTTTACATTCTTACTAACATTACATGAGGATTCCAAAGCCACCCTATCCTCATTGACATGTTTCCTGGGTGTATTTTGGTTTTTATGTTTGATAGCAGTCATCCTAATGGGTAGATGTAGCATTTCGGTGTGGTTTTATTTATAGTCCTGTAATGATTACTTAAGATGAACATCTTTTCATATGCTTATTGGTTATTGCATACCTTTTTTAGAGGGTTCAGAAATGGCTTTGGAAGTTAATGAGGGGAAGTAATGGCACCAGACTTAAATTCCTTTTAAAAGGCCAAAGACAAGCATCCTATGAGTTTATCTATACAAACACATTTTAAGTAGGAGAAGAAAAAAAGTCAAATAGACTTTCCACTTAGGCAGCAGCAGGAAGTCTAATAGCTCATTTGAGCCTATTAAACCAAGGCCAGCATCTAATTAATGAGGCTGAAATGGAGCCCGTTATGCACTGGCTACTTACTTTATAATGGGCAGCTCTCCCACACATCCAAAAGCAGAAAGAGCCATGGGTTGCCTGGCTCCATCTCTGACATTGGAGCCAGATTGAAAGATCCACCTTCTAAAAGTTTAAAACCAGGGGTACTGTCTTTTCTCTTCCACTTTGTATTTATTTATTTTTTAACTTAGGGAGTTAAAGGGACTATTGCCTGTTAAACTCTTACAATGAGATCATCAGAGTGAGCTGTGCATTTATTTACTTTTGTCAAGACCAAGGTCTGGTCATGACCCTGAAGGGCAGGGCTCCTGACCTCTCTCTCTGTTAGCATTTGTGGCCCATCAGTGCACACTACGCAGCCCCCAGCACACACACACACGAGAGGAATAAAACTGCCAGCAAGAGGCCAGGCTAGCTGTCAAATACTCCCAGAAATACAAAAGCCAGGACTTAAAACCAGAGAAGAGCTCTAAGGTGGGAGATCCATGCACCAGTGGCAGATGAGGACCTAAATGCATCATACTACATTTGAAATTAAATAGCTTAATTTTTTATTTCAATGATATTCCAAGAATCACAGCCTGAGACTCTTTCCTTTACCAGACACTGTCTACCCCAGGCTCAGGGAACACCTGTAGCACTTGAAAGTAGTTTGAAAGGCTGATTTGAGCCCCCAGTCAAAGCAAGAATCTTCCCTACTGGGCATAGTGGAAAGCCTGCTGCATACACACTGCCGTGAAGGCCTAACAGCCTGGTCAGGGACAATCAGGCAACAAGGGAAGTGAAGAACAACATGCATCTTTACCGAGGCCTGATGCAGGCCAGCTGTTCAACGCCTCTGGTCAATGCTAGCCGTGAAAAAGCAAAAACTAAAAATAACCTAACTGGTAGCAAGAAGAATATATCCCAGTATTTTTGAAAAATGTATCAACAGGAAGGGTAATCCCTAGGGAAAATGATGTAATTCTTGCCCTTCAAGAGTTTGACAAGTTGAATAGGTATTTATTTGCCATGCTTGAGCTATGGTTTTTGTGTGGAACTAAGAGAATAAATAAACCAAATTTTCAGTAAGTTCTGGCCCCAACTGTTTTATTAAGGTAATTTTACGGTAGTCAAATTTAAAAACTTGTTTTGCTGACTGGAAGGAAGCTAAAAATAAAAAATAACAGATATCCAGATTTTAAAAAAAATATTTAAAAAGGGCCTGGTCTCTGAAAATAGCAAAAATGCACACTATGTATAATAACTTGTAATAATACACCGTAAGGTAAGGTATATTAGTCTACACTATGTATTAGTTAGGTTATACTATATATAGCAAGGCCCACAGCTGAAAGAGAGATGATACAATGAAGTCATCCTGGAATAAATGACAATAAGATGGTAAATATTTAGCACACATTTCCATATACTGTATTAATTTTACTTTATTATATAATGAAATATTAGGATTTTTAAAATTGGCCACAATCCCATGAACTTTTAAAAAAAAATTATTTTTCATCCTGTGCACTGTCCTCCCATGTCCTCTCTTAAATACATGATGTAACTTTTTAAGCTAAAACCACAAACAAGAATGGAAGCTTTTCAATTTTCAAATTGTAATCAATTACCAAACCAGAAATGCCCAGCAATATGGAGGAATTTCACAAATATGCCATCAGAATCCCATCAACCACTGTGACCTACTGAAAGCCAGAGGAAAATTCCTTCCAGGAGGAAATCCACGATTTGCCTTATCTTCATCCACCTTGAGTCTGGATGCATGGACACACAGGTCAGAGTCCCAAAGCCTGTACTCCCAGGAGAAGGGTGTCTGCAACAGGTACTTGGAATCTTGGACTGTGCTATGTCTGGACTGAGCCAGCTGCCCAGATGGAAAACAAGAGGAACCCACGGGTGGGCAGATGGTGCTGGGAGGAGGGCTGGGGACTGCTGGGCGGGGGCAGAGCAGAGCTGAGACCACTGCACAAAGGCAGATTACGGCTAGGCTAAACAGGAACACAAGTGCTACCACCAGGAGACACCAACAGCATTCACATAACTGCAGAAAAATTTTTGTACTCAACCAGGCCCCTCTTCATTGCCTAAGGCAAATCCTTCAGACAGAGACAAGAGCCAGCTAAATAAAGGAGGTAAGCATCACAATACCTACTTGGTTCTACCTCTGAGAAAGGTGGTGGGAGAGTGAAAATTGTTAAGGAGACAAATCTCAGAATTTAGTCTGGTTAGTGTCAGAGAACATGGGTCAACATTTCTCTTGTATAGCAAATGAGACTTTGGGCAAATTGCTAACACTTTCTGGATTTTATTTTGCTCATTTGGAACTTGAGGATAAATATATCTGCCCCACCTACCTCACAGAATCAAGTATAGAAATAGATGTGAAACCATCCAAAAAAGTGTGAAAAGTGACACAGTACTATTTTAACTTTGAGCTATAAAGCTAATTTTGTGTACTATGACATCAGATTTATAACTTTCATATCTTTCATCAGGAATCATTAAATATTAAATACATCTATAGGTACATTTGAAATTTTCTTAGTTCTATTGTTAGCATGTGTCTGATTTTGATCAATTTCTCAAAATTATTATAGCATACAAAACTACCTAATTTGTAATACCAAAATTAAAAGAAAAAATATGCCTCAAAATCTAAAACAAATGTATTCAGCTTTATCAAGGACCCACATTTGATCTCTGTAAATACTGTCAGAACCCACCTCTCAAGTCAGTGAACTGCACTGCAAATACATGAATTGAATACCAAAACTTGAGGAGCTCAGTTTCAATCTTAAGAAGACTTAAACCCAATTTGTATAAAGCAGCAAGCAAAAGGAACATCTGTCTTCACAGGGAACAGTACTTAGGAAGAGTAATGCTTACAAATAGAGCAGACAGAAAGCAAGCTGTTGCCAAGGCCTCAAAGGCTAAGGTCCATTGTTGGGCTCCACTGGTTCCCTTTCACTGCTGCAGAACTCCCTCCAAATGCACATTAAAGGATGAATGGACAAAGCAAGCTGCAGCTTGGAATGCCTGGGGAGCAGGAAGTCAGTGGACAAGCATGGCCAGTACTCAACCGGGGGAAAGTAATGCATTCCACAGAGACAATAGCCCAGCATTCTGCACAGTTCATCACCTTAGTAAGTCAATTTAGCACAAGTAGGGACTTATAACTCACACCTGTTCTATAAAAAGCCTAACATCTGCAACACTGCTTACACATGTGTTAGTCAAACTATGGGTCACAGTTCCTTGTTGGGTCAATCAAATTCCCTTAACAAATTGATATGAGAACAGAATAGAAGAGGAT